AATATTACCAGGAATATGAATACCCAGACGTGAGCACCACACAGGATAAGACCTCAGAAAACGGCAGCGTCCGCTCGGAGACTGGTGTGCTGGAGCAGCCAGCACCTCCCCTGCCCTCCCACAATGCAGGGGAAACTGAGAGTCTCTCAAGGGGTTCTACAGCTTCCAGCACCATCTCCAACCAGGGAGAGAAAGAGGAAGAAGTGGAAGAAGAGACCGGACAGGAGAAAGAGGTGAAGTCCATCCTCAGGACAGAGAGGCACGTGGCAGACGACGGCTACAAAGCTGTGTGGTTTAAGACCGATGTGGATCCAGAGGCTGGAGAGAGGGTTGAAGTGATTGAGAACAATGCAGCAGCAGATGATGATGATGATGACAGTGACCAAGATCTGCAGAAGAATGAGGAGGAGGAAGAAGATTCTGACCTGGATGATCAGCATGGAGGGCTGGGACTGTCCTTCGCCTCAGAGAGCTCCTCACCCCCAGCTGCAGAGGAGACAGTCAACGTGTCTTATACAGATGCAGTGACAGGAGATGAGTCTAAATTATAATGGAAGTGGGCCTACATCCCCCCCAAAATGGGGGAATCTCAGCAACTTTGCTGGCATGAAGCCCATCTTTCTGCTCAGGGAGCAAACTGGAATGCAGAGGATGAGGTTACCTGCCCTGCCTGTCTGAATGCAGCAAATAAGGCTAGAGGAGATTACAGCTGATTTACCCCTTCAGTGAGACCTTGGAACGTCACTTAAGATTCGAGGGGGAGAACATGTTTCATCTCTCCACTTCCTACCTGTTTCCCTGGGCCCCTTTACATCACCTTTCCCAAACTGGCTGCAAGTACAGCAGAGCTGCACCTGAACTGACCTGGCAGCCCAGGTCTGACCTTAGCCCAGCTCAGGGAGCAGTTTGGTTACACAGCCCAGTGTCCATCTCCTTGGTGGGTGAATAAGCCAGCAGTGAGTGCTTGGCCGTTCCCTTCAGGGTGTTACAGTCTGGTGTCAGCAAGTCCCCCTGAGCCTGCAGTTGCTCATGTGACTGTATCCAGGAGCTCACTTCAGGGCCTGGCTCTGCTCTGTGCTCCAGCACAGGCAGCTGGAATGTGCCACCACAGTCCTCTTCCTGCCACCAGCCAAGGGGTTCTACACTCAGGAGCTGCTGTTTCCTCTGTCATTGGTTAACAAGCACCAATCACTTGTTCTTTACTGAAGGACTTTGTCATCAATTTTCTATACCATAAACCTGCTCATTGTGCATTATTTTAACTGTCTATCTTCTATCTGTCAGGGAAAAGAGCTCCTGAGATATTGCCTTCAGTTATGGCGCTGCCAAGTCAGCACTGTGTTTCCAGGTAGCAGGGGGAGGAAGGTGTTTGATGTTCCTGTCCAGATTTGCACCTCCCATTGACCCATCTCTTCCCCCAGCTGGCAGCCAAAGGCTTGGCTGGTCTCCACTGGCATCTTCTGATCATCAGCACAAAATTTATCCTGCTCCTGGTTTTCTCACTTTGGGGCTCACTGCAGAGCAGACATGGGTTGTGGAGCATTTAACTTCCAGTAAAAACTTGAGACTGTCCAAGGCAGGGATGCAGCAGGAGGAACTTGGGTCACGGGGGTTTATCTCATTTTCTCAGCTTAGCACAACAGCACAGGATTGCAACAAAGTAAGTGTCATGGTAGAGGAGCAAAACCATATAATCTTGCCTTTTCCCTACAAACCAATCTCCACTTTGCTGCCATTACTCCAGATAAACCCGAGAGAGAGAGAGAGAAACCAAAGGATGACTGCTGGGATCCTCAAGTACTCCAGAGCACAAAGGGTTTGCAAGGACGCTTTTATCCTCTAGGCCCATACTTTATTCCCATCCATGTCCCTGTCCCAGTGTTCAGTGCTCAGTTCTGCTCTCCTGAGAGCTGCCCTGGCTGTGTGGCCTTTAGGAGCTGCACTTGAGCTGCAGGTGGAGACGTGGGAAGCTTTGATCCCTCCTGCAGCCGAGCTGTTTGCCCAGGAATTACAGTGTGGTTTGGCTGCTAGCGGAGGGCAGGGAGTGTGCCCTGTGTTTGCCATGTAAACAAGGCTCCTCCTGCTGCTTTGGGTCGTCTCCAGTAAGCATTTCCCACGGGACTGGGAGAGCTCTCCAGCAGCTCCTGATGGCAGCCCACCACCCTCGGGCACAGCGAGGGCAAGGGTGAGCCCAGCCTGCTGTCCCTGGTGCTGCTCCTGGGAGAACTGTGAGGGGTGGGAGAGGCTGGAGTGTCCCTCATGGCTGTGCCATGTGTGCTCATTCCTGTCTGTCAGGGCACTGTCGTCTGTCTGTCTGTCTGGGTTTCTGGCACAGTGATTCACGAGCTCCCTGGATCTGCAGTCTGTGCTCAGCTTCCAGTGCTCCCCCTTCCCTCCCCGGGGTGCTCCTCCTGCTGTTGGAATCAGACTGGTCCCACTAAGCCAGGCTTTGTTTTCCTCCAATCCTCATCAGTACACACAGCCACGGGGCTTGGTGTTTTTCAGGGTTATGCTTGTTTAATTTCCAGGGAGGTGATGTTTGGTAAATACTGTGTCTGTGGAAGTGGTGGTAGTTGTTGTGAGGAGAACTAATAAAACTTGGCAGCAGGCAGAGCTCAGCTTCCTCCAGCTATTACCTTAAAAGCCTCCAGATCCTGTTCTTCACTCCTGCCTTTTTGAAAAAAAAAAGAATAAAAGAATGAAAGGAACAAGAAGAAAATGTAACCTTTCCAGTTCAAGTCCATCTGAGTTTACCCTCCATCTGATTGGATTTGTTTGTCTGCTGAGGCTGGGAATGTTGACAAACATTTTGCATTATTGTACAACAATCATGTTCATTTATAAACATCTGCATGGGAAAGAAAAATGTACCGATAGAAATGTTTTTAGAAAATTGGATCAGCTTACGTGTTTTCTGATGTCAAATAAACACCTAAGTACCTGGAAAAGCTCATCCTTGCACTCCAAAGACACTCAAATGCTTTTGGAAGTTTAACTCTACAGGTAGATTTAAGAAATCTCTCTCACTCTCTCCCAAATCAAGCTCTGATTTTTATTTCTGTATCAGCTTAGAATGATATTTGTTTAATATTTGTAAGGCAGAGCTATAAAAAGTCAGTGAACAAATCTGCAGGGTGAATACCAGCAGTTCCAGTGTGGCAATGGGAGATGTGGGTTTGGGATTTTACATCTGCCAAGGAAGAGGATGCTCATGGCTTTCCCAAGCCTGGAGCACCCTCTCCTGGAATAACACCCCTGGGAAGTGCCCATTTCACCCTCCCTTTGGCCTCTACAAGGAAAAGTAGCCACTTCCCTTCTCAGCTGCCAGGGGAAACTCTAAACCTGAATTGGAAAAAATCAAGTAAATACAGACATTTTACCTGCAGGAAGCAACAGAAACAAACAAAAAAATCACCAAGTGTCTGAAAATTCCTTTCTGCTCACATTCTGTCCCCATTTAGAACTGAATAATCCCATGGATTTCATCAAGTCTCATTGGCATAACTGACAGCAAATGCACCTTTTTGCCTTTTTTGGCCCCCAAGAGAAGAATGCTTTTGGTACCTGGCAGAGTGCAGGGGACTCTTGTTGGTTTGGCTTTGAAGGGATGGAAGAGAGCTAGAGAGCTTTCTCTTTGTATGTAGGAGAGCAGAACAATCTCCCTTTTTTCTGAGTCAATAATGAACCCTGATCTCTTCAGTCACATCATTAGGAGAGATTATCCTTCTTCTCAAAGAACAACTTCCACATGATAAATAGTCAGCCATAAAAGACCTGTTTTAACCTGATTTTTCTTGGATATTGAGTGACCTTAGCTCCAAAATGGATTCTTTTTCCCTCAAAAAAGAAGTCGATTCAATTTTATTCTGGTTTGTACCTTTTATTTTTTCATTAGTTAGTTACTAAGTCCTCCTAAAAATAGAACAGACCTGAGCAGTACACTTGTATGATAAGTCATAATGAAAGAGCTGAAAAATTTAAGACACCACATTATACTCGATGTTATGCTGGGATTTACATATCTTTATGCATACATTCTGCATTTTATTGTAGGATAAGTGTGTTAACTGTTCAGGTATAAAAGTAACAGATTTTTTTGGGAGATATAAGGCCATGTGTCCCTTTGAGGTATGTCATTAATTTTTTGCCTATGTAGTGAAGAAGAACCACCCATCAACACCATGATCCAAGTTTGTCTCATCTGGGAGTATGGAATCTCCATAACCCACAGGCATCACAAATGGCTTCAGTCTGGGAGTTAAGGTCAGTTATGAAGAAAAAAAATCACTTTTTACTCATCAAATATTCAATTTTTTTTGTAACAAATATTTCTGTTCTTGATCACCTTTCCAGTAATAGCAGGCAGCTAATCTATATTACTCACAGGATATTCCTGTCCAAATCTAGGGAAATTTTTTTTGCAGCTGCCACATATTTCAGTTTTTGCAGATCTAGAATGCAGAAGGGAGCAAGACATCAGTATTTTTAAGACCCTGAAGATGTTGGATTTTATTAAGATCTCAGCTTTCACTTAAAGAGAGATGAACGACCAGTCCCAACATATTCAGTTCCCTACAGGAACACAAGGTGATGCTGAAGAACAACTTGAAACTAGTGTAGGGAGCTGTTAAAGCTACTCACCCACCACCACTCCCTCCTGGTGAGGTTGTTAAACCTGAGTTTTTGCCTGTACCATGTAAATAAGGGCTGGAAAAATTTGATTTCACTGGGGCAGCCACAGCTTCTCTGGGCAACCTGTGGCAGGGCAGGGCCTCACCCCCCGCACAGTGAGAAATTCCTTCGCAATATCCCATCTAAACATACCCTCTGGCAGTGGGAAGCCATAATAATAAGGTTAATTCTGAGGGAATTAATTATAAAACTATTTATTTCTCCCTGACGGAGTCACCTGAAAGGAAACTACAACTCCCGTGATGCCCCGCGGCGGCGGTGTGGAAATGAACCAATCAGGTGAGGGGGACGCCGGGAGCGGCCAATGGGGAGGCGGCGGACGTTTGAATTTCGGGGCGGGCTGAGGCGGCGCTGCCGTTACTGCGCGAGGCTGAGGGGCGCGGACCGTGAGGGGCGCGCGGAGCCGAAAGGTACGCGGGGCTCAGGGGCCAGAGGGGCCCGGGACTGTGAGGGGTACGCGGAGCCGAGAGCGGCTGAGGGGTGCGAGGTACGCGGGCTGAGGTGTCGAGGGGTGCGTGGGGCTCTGAGGGGCTGAGGGGCGCGCGGAGCCGTGAGGGGCTGAGGGGCGCGTGGGGCTGCGAGGGGTGAGAGGTACGCGGCGCTGCGAGGGGGGAAAGGTGCGCGGGGCTGCGAGGGGGGAAAGGTGCGCGGGGCTGTGAGGGGCTGAGGGGCACGGGGAGCTGTGAGGGGCTGAAGGGTGCGAGGTACGCGGGCTGAAGAGCCGAGGGGTGTGCGGAGCCGTGAGGGGTGAGAGGTGCGTGGGGCCGTGAGGGGCTGAGGGGTGCGTGGGGCTGAGGGTCGCGCGGAGCCGTGAGGGGTGAGAGGTACCTGGAGCCCTGAGGGGCGCACGGAGCTGCGGGCTGAGACCTCAGTTCTAAACTCTCATTCATAGAATCTGTTTTGCTTTGTAAATTACTTGTTGGGGATAGTAAGTCGGGAAAAATACGACTACGGACCATAGTGGGATGGATATTCGCGGGGAAGAACTTGACAGAGCACAAGGTCCCTAGCTAATTGAGCAAAACATTAGGTCAGTGCTGTTACTCTGACCGGTCTTGTACGCGCACTCAGCGCTCTGTTGCAGAGTGCTGCAGTTAATCTGGTAGCCCAGGGATTTTGCAGCAGTTTTTTTCCAGAACTGTGCATCTCTTTAGATATTAAAAGGACTGAGTTTTGGAAAAATCTGGCTGTGGGCTGATTCCGGCTGAGGCGGCCGTGAGGGGCGGGCGGGGCCGTGGCGGCCCGAGGGGTTTTCCGGTGGTCTCTGGTGGTCGTTTGGAGCTTGAACTTTACTTGAACTTGAGCTGGTTACAGAGCACCTTTGTTCGGCATCTCTTGTCGGGAAACTGGATACTTATGTTACCACTACTTTAACTAAAGCATTCAGATACTTGCTTTATTCCGCAAGTACCTTAATAGAAATTTAGATTGTGAAGGCGGATAGAAAATTGCTGAACAATGGAGAATTGTTGCTCTCGCTACTCGCAGGTGAAGAGCCACAGGGGCTCGAATGAACTCGGGTCCCGCCCAGGCTCCCTCCGGCCGAAGGGTGTGAGGCTCGGGGCAGGGAAGGGAGCAATCCTTGGGAAGGGAAACGCCATCATCTGAGTGGCTTGCCCTGCAAACGTCGCCTGCCAGAGGTTCTTCATTGTTAAGATTGCCTTTCGTTTCATGTAATTCCCATGGAAGGGAATTAAAACCCAAAGTCCCTCTAAAAGTTGGGCATCTAAACGGTGTGTTTTGACTGCGCCGTAAATTTGGCGTGAATGGGCTGATGAATGGCGGGCCTGTGAAGTTTCACGTCTGTATCCCGCAAACACGTGATGATGATGTTGTTGTTGGGAGCGCAGGATTAAAGGAGCCGCGGTCATGTCCCAGGAGTGCGGCGATGAGTGGGAGCTGAGCAAGGAGAATGTGCAGCCCCTCAGGCAGGGGCGGGTGATGTCCAGCTTGCAGGAGGCGCTGGCTCAGCAGGACTCCTCCAGCCACACCGCTGTGCAGCTCAAAAAACAGTGGGTGATGTTATAACACCTCCTTTCCCCTTACATTCCTCCCTCCTCCTCCTCATTTTTCTGTGTCTTACTTAACTGTACTGATCTCATAAGCGTTAAAAAAGGCATAAAGGATGTTTAGTAACTGATGTCTGTGCTACTGTCACACTCCAGGTGTTTAGAACTACTCGCTGTAGGTGCTGTGTGGTACAGACTGCAACTTTCAGGTTTGCAGTGGAGCATTTAAACAGCAAACACCAGGGAGATTTGGTTGTACTTTTAACTATAATAGTTAAGTCTTAGTTTACAGTGTAGAAAATGTATTTCCAGTGATACATGTGTACTTATTGGATGGATAATTTTATCTTTTAGAGAATTTGAATCAGAAATCCGATTTTACTCTGGAGATGACCCTCTGGATGTGTGGGACCGGTAAGTTTCCCTTTTTTTTTGCAGAAAAATAGTAGAAAGGTCAGATATCCTAGGAAAAGCAAGGGGAAAGCATTCTAATTTAGAAACTCATTCCAAGTGAAATTCTATAATACTTTTTGAATAATGTCTTGTGTTTCAATATTATGCCTATTTTTTTCTAAATCCCCTTAGATTGTACAGAAACTTATTCAGAACTGACTTCCTATGAATATCTTCCATCTGTAGGTACATCAAGTGGACAGAGCAGACCTTCCCCCAGGGTGGGAAAGATGGAAATCTCGCAGCAGTTTTGGAAAGGGCAGTGAAAGCCCTCAATGAGCAGCAGCGATACTACAAAGATCCTCGCTATCTTAGTCTCTGGCTCAAGTTTGTGAGTATTTTCTTAGCCCCTCTTGGGTCTGCTTTTCCTGGGGACTTGTCATGTCATCTGCACAAAGCTAAGCTGATTTTTGTGACAGCAGAGGCAAAGGATGTTGTACAACAAGTGCAATATTAGAAGTATCCCTCTGCAAACATATTACTTTTAAATTTCACTTATTGTTTTTGATGGGATCTTGAGACCCTTTTTAGAGTTGTTATCTTTGGACAGCTACAAACTCCAGAAGTTTTGTTTTGGAAAAGCTGGTTTGACTAAGTAGAGCTCAAATAATAATTCAAAGAGAAAGGGAAGTGATTTAAAGATATATTTTAGGTGTTATATCTGTCCTACCAGTTATTTTAGCTTCTGTTGTCTTGTATCCACATCCTATATTTGAGCCAAACCAAGCTAAGCATGTTCTGGTCCTTCCCTGTCTCTCCATTGCTGTAATTTTTGTTGTTCTCATCTTTTTAAAGCAGCTTTTCTCCAGGTTTAGCTTCCTGAGCTGATTTACCAGTTCCAAAACTGGCAAGGAATATGCTGTACTTTATCTAAAACTGAAATAACTGTTCTCAGGAATGCTAATATGACATAGGTCAATCACTGAATTACCTCAGATAAAAAAAAAATCTAAGAAATGATTGCATGTCTTGGCCTTACAGCTGCTCCTCTCAAGCTTGTATTGAAATCAGGGGGGTCTTGCTGGAGGCATCAGAATGCAGATTTTTGGCTTGGACTCCTTTGTGATCCAGTGGGATTACTGACCTGGGCTTCTTTCAGGGCAATTGCTGTCACGAGCCCTTGGATCTGTACAGTTACCTGCGCAGCCAGGAGATTGGCACCACGCTGGCACTGCTCTACATCACCTGGGCAGAGGCACTGGAGGCCAGAGGGAACTTCAAGAAAGCAGATCTGATATTCCAGGAAGGGCTTCAGCGCAAGGCTGAGCCTTTGGACAAACTCCAGTCCCATCACAGGTGAGGGAACAACTTACTCTGAGGTGCTCCCCGGGGTACCTGGTAGAAGGTTATGCTGACTTGTCCGATGTTTTTCTAGGCAGTTTCAGGCCCGCGTTTCTCGGCAGGCACTACTGGCACTTGAGGAAAGTCCAGATGGAAAAGATACAGGTCTGCTGGAAATTGCAGAGCCTCAGAGAAGCTCATTGGCAGATCTCAAAGGCAGGGGGAAGAAAAAAGTGAGAGCACCCATTAGTCGTGTGGGAGATGCAGTTAAAGGTACATTCAAGAGCTGAAACCACCTGTTATTGGAAGAGTTGCATCTTTTTGTTGTGGACTTTGGAATTGAATGTGATCGTTAAAGATTAATTTGCATAAATCTTCTTACTTGTAGCCACAAACCCAAACAGAAGCGTCCAGCCTCTAACTTCTCTGCAGATTTCAAATACTCCGGGTTTTGCTGTGTTTGATGAAAATTCAGCGTCTGTAGACGAGATTCCCACGCTTACAGCACAGTCATGGGCAGCACCTCCAGCTCCCAGGGCCAAGGAGAATGAACTCAGTGCAGGACCTTGGAACTCTGGCAGGGTAAGGAGTCTTGAAATAGACTGGGAAAAGAGAGGAAGGTGTGTGTAAGCTGATGACTTCTGATCCCTGAGACAAAGGTCATATCTTTCTCCCTTGCCTGGGGTTTATAATGGAATCATAGCATCCCAGAACGGTTTGGGTTGGAAAGGACCTTAGAGCTCAGCCAGTCCCACCCCCTGCCATGGGCAGGGACACCTTCCGCTAGCCCAGGTTGCTCCAAGCCCCGTCCAACCTGGCCTTGGACACTTCCAGGGATGGGGCAGCCACAGCTTCTCTGGGCAACCTGTGCCAGGGCCTCAGCACCCTCACAGGGAAGAATTCCTTCCCAATATCTCATCCAAACCCACCCTCCTTGGGCTGAAAGCCATTCCCCCTTGTCTTATCACTCCAGGCCCTTGTGAACAGTCCCTCTCCTTCCGAAGACTCTCTGGCTATTCATAACCTATTCAAGTTTAGCAAGCTGAAATTACTAGAAGAAATTTAAAAAACTCTCTGGAATTATTATATCAAGAAATCATATTTCTTGCAAACTAGAAAAATTGGTAGAGATGGCCTGCCAAGCTGTTTGGAGGTCAGAAAAGGAATGTAAGAGGGATTTTCTGAGAAGGAAGAGTAAGAGTCAAATTATATTGTACAATACCACCTGAAGGAAGAACTTGTTGCCTGCCTTACAGAAATAAGGCATGTGCAGCATTCTGCACGTCTGTTTTGAAGTGCTTATGAGGAAAACAGCAGAGTGGAGATCAAAAGAATTGCAGAACTGCTATATCAGTGGGATATTTATCCTGACAGTGGGATGACGGAAAGTAGGTTCCAGTGGTTTAAACTAATGCAGGAGACAGGAAAAGAAAGAGCTGTGCTCAGGTGTTTTAGCTCTTCTAGGGAAAGAGATCCAAGACATTATCTGAAGGGAATTAATCCTGTGAAATGAAGTTTGTTGTTAGGTGCTCAGATAACCCCCAGTGTTCCCCTGTTCTTTGTAGCTTCGAGAGGAAGAATAGAAAGTAATCAGGTGATAAAAATATTTTAGATTTCTCAATATAGAAGTTGTTACAAGTGAAGCTTAGGAACAAAAACTAGGATGAGGGGAGGTATGCAAATAGGCTGAAATTCAGGGGAACTCCAGGAATATTACTCCCAGATACAAGCAACTTGATTAAATGAATGGAAAAGTTCAGTAAATCACAGGTTTAATTTAGCTTGAGAAGAATGAAGAGGAATTATTAATGTAGAACTTCTTTTATCAGTTGCTTTGGGCTGCTGAACACATTCATTCTGGTCTCCAAATGCTTCTGTATATCTTTTAATGTCTGGCCTTAGAATTCTCTCTGTTCTCCCCTTAATGAAATTTGTTAGATTTAATTAAAAAATAAAATAAAATATCCTGCTACTAGAAGAAGAGTTGAGGATGTTTAATTCCCCTTCACTCAAGGGTAGTGAAGGGATAACCTTTGGTGAAGGCTTTGAGATATTAAAACCTGCACAGAGGAAAGAAGCTTCTCTAATTGCTGGTGTGAAGACGGCTGAGTAAACAGTTTGGGAAACTTTTTGTGCTGAAGGGTCACAGGAAGTTCAAATCAGCAGATGAGAGGAGTGTGTTGTCAGACTAAACTCCGTTCTCTTAAATAATGGACCTCAGAAGGAGTTAAGGGATTTTTGTGGTATTGGAATGGCCTCTGAAAGGAAAATTTTAAAAACCCCAAGTCTGAAGGTCCTTGGTTGACAGGAGAAGGAATATTATAATACAACTGGGACAATCTTAGCTGGAAAATGAGGACTGAAGCATTTGTGGGAAACAGACAAAGAGAAACTGGAATACCCACCTTGACCAGAATAACATTCCCTCTCTCTCTATAGATATGTATACATACAATATTCCCTCAGAATAACAGAAACTGGGATGGTGAGGTCACATGGGAGGAGTGTCTTGCTTTTTAGGTGCCAGTGTTCAGCTGATGGGTTGTAACTATTTATGTGTCAGAATGGCAAGAATCTTGGAAAAGTCTATTAGGTTTAATTCTTTTATATAACAAACCCTCCAAATGAGCAGAACACCAGGAAAAGGGAGAGGCAGAGTCCAGAGAGGTGTGGAGTGTAGAGATGAACGTTGCAGCTGTTAATGGTGCCTTTCCTCCCTCAGCGTCCTCGCAGCACCACCAATCCTGGCGTGGCAGTGCCTGGCCCCCTGCCCAGCTTCACCCCCTACGTGGACGAGTCAGCTCAGCCTCAAATGATGTGAGTCTTGAGCTGGAGATGGGAACTGCCTTTGGAATTCTAAAAGCTCTTTCCTAAAATTCTGACTTGTTTTGCCAAGTAGTCAAGCCTCTAGAGCTACAAGAATTTAAAAATCCATCAGCCTGGAAGCAATCAGTGCTGCAGCTTGATGGCAGAGGCCCCAGCAGAGGTTGCATAAGGACATGGGAAGTGTTCAGCCAGCACTGCTTGTGATGTGGGAGCTGATGTCATATTTATATGTGCTAATTAGTCTAATAGCTTATCTCGGTGTGTTTGCACAAACCCACAGGTCCCTGTCTTAGGGTGCCCTTTGCTGTGGAACAGCCCCAAAGTGAGGCAGACTTGGGGCTGTTTTTCTGTCTTGGGAGCTCTGTGCTCAGCATATCTGGAGTTTTATTCTGAAACAAGCTATCAAAGTTGCCATGACAACAGTGTTGCTTAGGTCGTGGAGGAGTGAGTATGCTGCTTTGCCTGAAATTACCTCCCTGCTTGTGCAGTCTCCCTGAAATTCTAATAAATCCCAGGAGATGGGGTGGTTTTGTTAGAGCAGAGGACTTTTTTTTGCAAAGTTGCTCTACCTTTCTATGGCTAATGATGGCCAGGGAATACACAGACTCTTCCTGAGAGAGAAGTGGAAAAGGCAATTTGGTATTGCAGTTTCCACAGCTCTGAATTGCATAGAATCAAGGACTGCTGAGACGTGGTGAACAGCATGGATTGTTCCTGTGGGTTTTGTGTGTTCCATGTGGACTGCAGAATAGCTCTGACCAAGGACATGCCATTGTTTGGTTGAAGAATCTGTAAAAAAATAAATTTCTGTTTAAACTATTTCTTGCTCCTGAAAGTTAGTGACACCACAGAATTAAATCTCTTGGCATGCTGGTCTCTGAGATGAAGATTTGTTACTTACTTTAGCTTTTTATCCGAGGGAGAGGGAAGGAGTGGGTGGAACTGAACATTATGTAAATTAGCTCTAAGCAACTCAGGCAGAGACTTTGTATGCAGCTTTATATAATGTAGCTGAATGTTTAAAAGTAGATTTTTTTTTTCTGAATTTGAGTCCATTTCCTCATGATACCATGGTCACCAGCCAAGTCATGTCTGAAAGTGTTGTGTTGAAACTGTGTGAACATGATGCAAATCATGCCCTCAGCTGTCATCCAGAGGTCTGGGCAGAAGGACCTTTAGTGATCTTGGTAATGAGCCTCCACATTCCCCCAAAAAGCTTTAAAAACCCGAACACAAGAAGCACTTCTGCCCCATGATCTCCCAAAAAAGTGAAAGGGCTGGGAGTCCCTTCACATGCAAACCAAAATGGATGTCTTGGGACTCTACATAGGGCTTTCTTTGGATCTGCTTACCCAGACCACAGTTTTTAAGGTCAGTTGTTCAGATCATCTTTTACTGAGGCACAGCTGAGTCAGTCCAGCTGGAGTCAGCTGGAATGCTGCTGCATGTAAAGCTGTACCAGTGTTGGTTCCTCTCTCCTGACATTAGTGGGTAGTGCTTTCAGAAAGCCCTTTCACAGTAAGGAATTGTGACAGGTCTGGACCTTATTAACTGTTTGGGATTGATTGCTGTTGTTTGGTTTGGTTTATTTATTTATTACCCCGTTTGGAGTTGTATGCTGGCCTTTCATCTGCTATCATTCCAGTTTTCTGGTTTATTTTTTCCAACAACAGACCATAAGGTCTTTACACTGTTCCACAACCAGACTCTGAGATCAGCCCTGTTGTCTCCTGTGCCTGCTTTTCTGTGCTACAGTGAAGTACCACAGAACCCCAGTAACAAATTCCCGGTTTTCCAGGACTCCGTGCAAAATCGAGCCCAGCATAAACCGCGTGCTGAGCGCTCGCAAACCTGAGAAGGAGGACCCGCTGCAGCGAGTGCAGCACCATCAGCAGGACACTGAGGAGAAGAGAGAGATGGTGATGTACTGCAAGGACAAGGTTTATGCTGGAGTCGATGAATTCTCTTTGGAAGAGATTCGAGCTGAAATCTACAGGAAGAAGGCGAAAAAGAAAACTGAAGGTGTGTTTCAAAATGGGCAGAAATAAGTAAGGCTTTCAGAGATGGGATCATAACATTATATTTGCTGCTCTCTATTATTGCAGCTGCTTTTCTTTTTCTACTGGAAGAGTTATTTAACTGCTCTGAGGTACACAGACAGTAACATATCTGACAGCTTTGCATGGAAGCTGTGGAACAGGGAAAGACCCCTTTAGAAATAATTTAGGCTTTAGCCACCAATTGTATGTTAAATATGCATTGGGCCTTACAAGCTTTTCTTCCTTAGAGGAAATGCAAGCCATAGCACAGAAGAAGGAAGAAATACAAAGGCAAATTGAGGAGCTGGAGAAGAAAATAAAGAAGAAAGAAGATCACAAGCAGCAACAACCACATGAACAGGTATTGTCCTCACTTAACTATTCTTTTACAAATAGCTGCTTACCTATGTCTGTAGCAGTTGTAGGATTACTAAAATCTCCTGTGAAAGTTATGCAGGGTTGCAAAGAGTAAAATGATGCGTTTTAACTACACTATGCAATAAAAATGGACTTTTTTTCATGACAGTAAGCTAAGTACCAATAAAAATGGCTAAAGACAACTAATGACCCACACAGGGTAATTAACATAGTAATAGTTTTGGAACCTTTTTTCATGGCTTGTGATTCCATCCCTGTAGAACCAAAACACGGTTTTGTTTCTACAGGCAGCAGAGACAAGGGAAGCTTTGGCACCTTTGGGACCACAAGGATTTACTTCTTCCAGTGCAACAGAAGTTGGGGAGAAGCAGCTTCAGTGGCAAAGGTAATAGAAGGTTTTCTTTGCCAGCAATGAGAAGGTTTGTGGGGATAAGTTAAGAGTAACACGGATCATTACCAGCCTATTTCTCCAGGCAGAGTGGAACAGACTCCTCTGTCAGCCTGCAGCCAGGATCTGTCCTCTCTCTCTCTCTCAATATTTTTGATTATGGGATCTTAACTTGCAAGTAGCTTACGTTACCTTTTTTACGGAGTTTACTTCTCTTTTGTGAAGGTCTGTAAAGTATAAGAAACAAATTTATATCTTTTTTGCAGTGAGTTCCAGGTCTGTGAAGATACTCAAATACATAAACCATCTTGTCATGAGGGTAAGTATTAAATTTTTTTTACCATTAAGGAGAATGCTTTGTAAAAAGGGGAAGTGTTTTTTTATAGCAAGACTGCAGCAAACTGAAAACAAAAGTCTAGATGGGTTAAAAGAATGAAAATGAGAAGGTTCTACGAGTGCCTTTAACCGTATTCAACATATTGAGTATCTGAGGCCTGAGAATGTCACTATTTGAAAGGACATTTGAGCAGAAGAGCTTTTTGCTTTCAATAACTGGAGAGCTTTTTTCAAGCTTTCATATTTGCAGTCCTAATAAAATCTCAAAACAGTTTAATGCTACCATCAGATTGTTACTATCTTAAGTCCTTTTGCCTCAGAGGATTTTCTAGAGGAATACAACCAGAAGTTGTGTATTTTTCTCTGGGGAAAGTTTTGTTGTTGGGAAGGATGTGTGCTGAAAAACTTACTTTTGACCCGAATTAACTCCTGTTGCTGTTGACAGAGGTTATCCCGACTCGTGATGTATCTTCAGACACCGACAGTGGAAATGTGTTTTTAGACCCTGAGGAGGAACAGAGAGATGAGGCCAGCCTTCCAAAAGAAGGTACTAATTCTGATGCAGTTTAAAAAGAGCAAGCTAACTCACGTAATATGGTGGTAAAGGTGTGGTTCAGTAATGGGACAAAACCAAGCCTTTTTTAATGGGGTTCCTTAAATGCCAGTTCTGTAATTTCCTGCTAGGACCAGTATTTTAAAAATTATGTATTAAATATTTTAAGTAGTGTTGGATACCCTGTTGTGGAAAAACTGTTGATATGACAGAGCCTCTTGGTTTTTCTTTACAGATGTGAGTCTGCTTCCCCCACTGGCTCCTGCTCCGGTTTTCTCTATATTTGATGAATCCTCTACTTTAACAAATCAGAATATAAGGTAGAAATATTCAAGACCTAGATTTCGGAGGGAGGGAACACTGAAATATCAAACCACTTTCTGTAGCTTCTGAAATAACTGTTTCTTGCAGGGGTGTGGGGTGGCATTTTGTTTTGTTTATATTGCTATTTTTTATTTCATCACTCAGAGTCCATGATGAGGAAATACTCTTCTGTTGTTCTTCCTCAGCCTAGAACTATTTAAGCTGCTATGTAAACTTTCTTCGTTTTGGAGAGTTGTATATATTGCAGTTTACTGGTAGTTCTGTAGTAGAAAAAGATAGATTGAAATTGTCGGCACATAAAAACTCTTGAGGAATCTGTTGAAGACTGGAATCTGCTCTAATAAGTATTTAATTGAATGTAACTTTATTTTAGTTGTTCTGCAGATCATACCCAGAAAAGTGCCCGTCGCCCACTTGCCTCTCTGACAGCAAAGGAAAACGTCTCACCAGAAGCCTGTGTAAGGACAAAACCAACCCACAGCAGAGCCCCTGCCCAGGAGGAACCAGCACTGCCTGTCCTGCTGACAGACTGACCTGATGTGCAATAAGCAGGGATTCCAAACTACTGTCTGGCATGGCAGGACTTGAATTGGGGCATGTTAAGATTATACTGGAAATTCATGTTTTTATTAGGCTCTAGGGTGGGCAACAAGGAGATGATGATAGGGAGTCTTCCAAAATTTAGGCAAGTCATTAGTGGCCGGAGTCAGATACATTTTGGAAGGTAGTTGGGTGGAAGAAAGGGGAGAGAGAAATATTGACCTTTTAAATAAATTAAAGAAAAAATGTCATAAAACGTACAGGCTTTTCACTGTCTCTTCCTGCTTTTTTTAAGGATGAGCTGAATGGAATCGAAGCTTTGACTGAGGATGCAATTGTGACAGGCTCCTACAAGAACAAACCCCTTTGTGCCAACCCAGAAGACACATGTGACTTTAACAGGGCTGCCCACCTGGCCTCGACGCCCTTCCACGGGCTGGGAGCTCAGAGAGTCCCAGCTCCTGCTTTCTCCCAGAGTGGCCTGAAGGAGGATAGTCCAGAATCCAAGAGTGCACCTCTGGATCAGGAAACACCAGTGTGTGAGGGAGCGTACAGCGAAGCTCTGTGTGTAAATAAACTGAGGTAATTAACAGCAAAGCACCTGAAGCCCCTTATCCTGTGTGTCTTTCACAGTTATGATTTTATTGTTCTGTTGCTGAAGAAATAGTTTTCTGAATAGACCAGGATATTCCAAAGGCAGCCATTTTTCTAGCTTAGGGTCTACTTTGCCTTGAGCAGATCCAAGAGGTAAGAGCAAGCCCACTTGACTTTTCAGCATTACTGCTCTGGGCCTTAACTCCATGCTTTTACCAAATAACTTGCAAAGTAATTAATAAACGCATTCTGTCTTGGTTATCAGACATGAAAAGCCAGAATCATCAGTTCCTTTCATACTTACAGGCTTCTGCAGTTATTTTAAGTATGTAAGATGCATCTGGTGGCTATGATTTAGTTCTTCTACAGAGGAGGGAAGCTGGAGAGAAGAAAAAACTGGCAAACAACCTTCTTTTTTATCCTTGTAAACCAAAAAAGCATCTTATATGGGGGTTTCTTAATTTAGAGCTGAGTTGGTTTTGCTGGCTGTTGGTATGTAAACACATATACCACGCCGAAGGTGTTTGTTTACTTGGGAAGCTCCCTGGAAACCATGCTGATTATAATTAGGTAGAGTTATTTCCCACCCAACCCTTCGCTGCTTTAAAAGCACTGAAATTTGGTAGCGAGATGAGGAATATTTATTCAGTATGTCTTCTATGGTAGCAGCCAGATTTAGTGGAAGACGAGATAAAAAGTCATCTGTAGACTAAGATTCCGAGTATAAACAATCATCAAAGCCAGAATGAAGCACTGACACGACTTTTGGTTTTCCACTAAGGATGGGAAAGGATTTCTTTGTTAATTAAATCTGGAAGTGCACAGTATCCTCTCCTAGTCACTGGGCTGGCATTATCTCGAACCTGTATGTTCTGGAAGTCTGAATAGCTGATGACTTTATTTCCAGCCCAATCATGGAAGCAAGCCTGGAAGACACTCGCTCGTCAGGTTCTTCAGTCTCAGGAGGTTCTCTGTCCTCTGTTACACAAACATCTGCTATTAAATACCTGCGTGTCCCTGAGAAACTGGAGCTGGCTCAGAGCCTGCCTGCTGAAACAGGTCCTGATGCTGGAGGTGTCTGTGGAAATGCTCCTGGTTAGTACTAAACCAAGTTTCACTCACAACAGATAACTTGCAGCTGTCACTAAACACGTTTTTTCTTGTCCTTCCTATATCCCACTGTGCTTCCTGTGTGTTTCCCATTACTGTGACTTGTGCCTGAACTTGTGTCCCTTGTGGGAAGCAGCAGAGAGGTGCAGTACAGAATGTTTGTCAGCATCCAAAACATGTAAATATTAAGGGGACAGAAGTTATTAAGGTAGTAAAACAGGGAGTGTGTAGGAATAATGAGGTCAAATTCTGAAAGGAAAAGTTGGGACTGGAAGGCAGTGAGAACTTCTAAGACAGCTTTGGTTTGGTTTGTCCTGGTTTTTTCTCTGTAATGATACTGCGTCTCTCCTGATGTGCTGATAACTGCTACTTTGCAAAAGGGGAATTTGAAATCTAGCGAAAGTTGCAGAATTTTGGTGTAAATTTGCGCTTTTAACTGCGCTGTAAAGTGTGGTGCTGTTTCACAGTACATTTCTTATTCCTATTGAAGGAAAACAATACTGGTACTTAAATAGTCAATTTATTTTTCTTCTAGCTAAAAGCCCTTGTTTCTCTCTGTTCTGAATATTTATATTACAGTTAGAACAGGAATGGTCACAAAAGGCCTTTGAAATCTGGCCTATAGAATTAGGTGTACGTGGCACAATGGTTTTTCAAGGTGTTTAACCTGCTTTAACTCCTTTGATTTTGGCTTATGATACTTTAATTACAATTGTGTATCTGACAATTCTCAGTATATCTACTCTGGAGAAGAATGTTCTTGTGTGCCTGCAGACTATTTTGTGATGAAGCATGCTTGGGACCTGGAATGAAAATACAATTCCTACATGGAATTTTCTTATGTGTCTTCCAGGAGGTACAAGCCACGAAATTTTTAATATTGCAGTGAGCAACAGTGTTGGAGTCCAACTTTGTTTTCCTTTTCTTCCATAAAACCCCTGCTGTAATTAAAGGACTGAATTTCACTAAATCTCTTCATTTTAAAATCCTGAACTGATCACTTACTCTGGGCATAGATTTAAAACAAGGAGTGTTGATTTGCAGAATGAGTTTGACTTCTGCTGTGGCTGAATTAATTCAGAGCTTTGTCTCTTGTGGAAGATATATTTTGCATGATGCTACAGGAGACTCCTTGAGACGTGAGTCTGTGAGGTGGTTGTAAAGAGGAGTGTCACATTCACTTCACAAACTCTTGGGAAGAGGTGAATTGACTTGCTGGAAGATGAACAGTAAATCAGAATGCGGACAGAAAGCTTCCAATATCCGGGGTACTTTTACTGACAGAGGTAATCCAATGGCAGACTCCTCGCTGAGTTTCAGCTCACCTTGCTGTTGCTTGCCTTCATAGGGGATGATGTGGCTCAGTTCCTATGGAGTGCTGAGCAGCGTAAAAAGCTCTTGGATCCTGTGCCAGAATCACTGGCTGCTTCTCCAGATTTTTACTTGGAGCCTGGAGCTCTGCCTGGCATGGAGGTTGAGAAGGACATTGAGCTGGGTAGGTGAGCCAGAGCCTCTGCAGTGCAGGGGATTTGTTTGTGTTCTCGTTGGGTTGAATTGTGGTTCATATTCACCCTCAGAGTTGGATGTGGTGCAAGTGGGGAATAACTTGGGAATGTCTGTTTGCTGTGACAGCTTATGAATGTAAACTTTCATCCCAGGGCATGAGACTTACTGCATCAAATGGGAATACTGGAGCAATGAAGAATACAAAATGTTTTTTGCCGTTCCAGCAAACCTTTTCCAGTTGGATGCAAAGGGATTTGCAATAAAGGTAACACATACAATGCTTATTGTACAAGAATTGTGAAATGGTAAAATCTCATCCATTAATACATAAAATGTAGTAAGTCTGGCCTTCATTTCTGAATTCCATACATGAAGTTTGCTACTTGGAGTCCTATTTCTAATTGCGGGTATAGATTAAAAGTTTCTGCCTGTGGAAAACATCTTCCTTAGTGAAGTGGGAGAGGAAAAAAAAGGCTGAGAAGAATATGAAGATGAATAATTTTCATTTTATTCCAAAAATAAATGTTCTTCTTACGTACCTTGTTGTAGGTGTATTCTCAGCCTGTGCCTTGGGATTTTTATATCACCCTTGAGTTACAGAGGCGTTTGAAGGCTGACTTTGACCAGAGCTTCAGTGAGAGCTGCAGCTGTCACCTGTACCGGGATGGCTGTGCCGTGGTGCACAGGGACATCAACCGCTTCACGCTCGGGGTCAGTACGGGCTGTAGGACACACAGACTCTTGCTTGGCTACAGTAGTGACTTTGGCTGGTTAATCCTGCAATCTGGATCCTCTGGGTTTTATCCATATACAAATCAGGGCTGTCTGTTATAGCCTCCATTGGGTTTGGTTTCTCATCCGTAGATCATGTGCTTCTCAGAAGATGATCTTGAACAAATTTTTCACATGTTCTGTCTTTGTGAATGATAAAGGACCTGAGCCAAGAACCATGTTAGTCCAAACAAGATTTGCATCTAAAACTGTTGTTTAACTTCACCTGTTTCAATAAGTTCCCATCTGCTATAGCAAGGTCATAGCGTTTAATGTCTTGCTGAAGGATTTATATTTTAAATAAAGTTTTGTAAGTGCATTTTGAATTGTTGTGTATAAATAGGATAGAAATTAAATAGTGATTTCAGTCTTGAGGTCGATTTTCTCCTCCTGATCTTTTGTCCACTTTTGAATAATAATGTCTCCTAGGAGCTCATGGCTCTTGTAATTCTGTCTGGGCTGATCATGGGCAAAATCTGATTATACTGAATTTAGGGTGGGACTGTTATCTCTGTACAGATGAGTAATGAAAAAAAAGGTGAGCTATAAATACTTGACCTAATCTAAGGTAGAATGGCACAGAGATACATGTTTACTGTCTCTTTCCAGGATGTTATCCGTGGCCGCAAGTCCATCACAGAGGAAGTCATCTTCCTGGTTGTTTATAATCTTCTGGGTGTGGTAGAGAAGCTGCACAAGGCTGAGATTGTCCATGGAGATCTGAGGCCAGAGGTGTTCTTTCTGGGAGACAGGTTTGTCTCTGTGTGTGAATATGGGGGGGTACAGAACACTCACTGCAGCTGCAGCTCTCGTGCTGCTCTCATTTCTCCTCCTTAGCTGGAGTACTGGTTTTGCAGTCCAGGTATTTTAGGCTCCAGCATATTCTGGAAACAGTGAAAACACTTTGTTTAGGAATAAACCTTTCTATAGAAGGTTTACACAATGATGTTGTAAAACTTGTGCTAAGCAAAATGATGTTGCTATTGCCTGTGTTTTCAAGCTTCTACTTTACCGGACATTTAGCGTACTGGACCTCTAACTGGTTATGGTAATTTGCCTTTGGTTTTACATATCTGAAAACCAGGAAATTAGAAGACAAAGGACAGGTGGGACTGGAATATCCAGACACCCTTAAACAGATTGCTCAGCTTCCTCCGCAGTCCAGCTTGTACCTTGATGCACAGATCTAGTTCTCTTCTTGAAGCTCTTTCCCATATTATGTTAACAAAGTCTCATATCCCATGGAATGTGATCTGTGAACTAAGTGTGGGAAGCCAGTAACCAGAATGTCTAATGAATCAGGTAGAATTCCATTACATAAATTCACTGAGGCTGTTCTTAGTTATCCCTGATAAGTTAGAAATAGCTATTAACTTTAAATTTACTTAGAGCCTGCAGTCATCTAACATGCACACCCCCAAGATTTTTTATTTAGAATTTCTTTGTGATTATTTTATTAATAACTTATTTATATTATTTACTTAATTGCAAATTACATACATACACACTGAAGTTCTTATATTTTCTTCACACCCTACAGTGGGTTGTCTTGCACATCCCTTAGGGTGCTGCATCCTATTTTGGAAGTCACTGATCTAACAGTGGCTTGATGGGCTTGGATATCTTCTGCCGGATTTCTCTGTGGCAAATATAAAAAAAAACAGCTGCCAAAAAGTTAGGATAGTGGTTTGGGTTTTTTAAGATAACTAAAGGACAAGTGCACAGTATAAATTAAAAAATATGCTCAGCAAACAAATCTGTAAGAAGAATAGTAGTGAGAGCTGTGATCTGTGGATATTGTTGGCTTGGCAGTCCTTGATACAGATACTCCTGTCTGCCCTTCTTGTTTGTCCTCCCTCACCTCTAGACCAGGAAAGGTTTGTTAAATCAAGCTTAATTATTTTTTGTATGAAGCATTCTGAGATCCTGAAGGAGAGGGATGAGTGCTAAGCACTGCACTATTGTCCTATTGCACAGACTGTGTTTGGATAACTGTGACCAATATTAAAACAGCAGCATCCTCAACTCTTTGCCCTTTCCCATGGCTCACTCTGGAGACTCCAGTGTCACCCCTGGCTCCCGGCTGCCAGCTGCTCCTGTCCAGGGGCAGCCCTTGCAGCAGTTCTGAAGGCAGCCATCAGAGGGGAGCATTGACATGGCTAAGACTCACCTTCACTGCACTGTTAAATTAATTACAGAAAGAAAAAGTTTGTTGGATTGTCTTGTGCTTCACGTGCTTCCTCCACTCAGGATCTGTGATGCCTTTGCTAACGAGGACATGGCAAGTGCTCTGAAGGTGGTGGATTTCTCTCACAGTCTGGATTTGAGGTTGCAGTCTCGAGTGAGCTTGTGCAACAGCTTTCCCATATCTCAGACCCCTCATGGGCAGCAGCTTCTGGCAGCAAGTTCTCTTCCTTATCAGGTGAGTCTCTGTTTAGCAGGACATCTTAGTTTCTGTGTTTCCTTTGCAAAATCTATTTTCTTAGGTTGCAATTTTCAAGTGCTGTGGAAAGCTCTGACCGATAAATACTGAATTTGACACCTGATAGAATCTTTGGCACTAAGTGAAGGGGACTGGCAGCACTGTTGAGAGTCTGTGACTACTGTATTTATTTAGAAACCTACAATAAAAACAGAATTTTACTGCTTGAAGTTTTCTTGCTTAACAGTCTCTGGAAGATTCTGGTGCAAAGACCAATCCAGACTTAAATGTGTGAAAGCACCAAAAGCAGAAAGCTGTAATGGATTGCAGAAAGTGACAGGCACTGAACTTTGTGATGTTTGTTGTGATTACAGGTAGACTTGGTTGGCATTGCAGATATAGTCCATTTGATGCTGTTTGGGGATCATATCCAGGTCTATCAGGAGAATTCCATCTGGAAAATCAGCCAAAACTTACCAAAGTAAGTCCTTTTGCAGAGGAGGCTACTGGGAAAGAACAGACATCTAACTTCATTTTCCTTATAGTGCTACCATCCTCAGAGCTTGGAACACAGAACTTGGGGCTGTTGCTGCCAAAAAGTGTTAGTTCTGTGGGGACTGAAACTGTGGAGCTATTGGACTTGTTCACTGGTGGCCTTAATGCTTAGGAGACAATTTTAAGCTGAATACGAACAGTCCAGTGAAGATGATTTTGCTTTTTCCATCCTTTCAGACCGCACTGCCTTAGTCTCTCTTTGCACCTCAGAGACCAAGCTTGGAAAAGTTGATAAGTGGGTGGGTGGTGAGAGGAAAGAAAAGATCCCATGAGCATGTTGCTCTAGGAGTGGATTAGTTTGGTTTGCTCTTTTTTCATTCTGCTGAGACACTGAGGCCAGGGTTGTCTGTAACAGTTGCAGAAACAAAATATACGTGCACAGGAAGGAAAAGAATTTACAACTGTCATTTAAGATGCAAGTGCAAACAGCTTCTTTTTGGAAGCTGCTGTTTGTCCTCAGGTATTAATTGCTGCTGCTCTCTTTAGCCACGTGTTTTGGCTGTAAGATTGCTCTGCCTTCCTCTGCCCTTTTTTGGTTCTTGGACTTGCTCATGTTCTTAGTCACATCCTGCAGCATCCTCTGCCTTGGCACTTCCTAAGGATTTTCCAGAACTCTCCCCCCCATGACAGCAATTGCTGTGTTCAGGGTCATGGATATTGGTTGCACCGCCTGTGTGGATACACTCCTGAAAGCACTTCTTAAGGAAACCTTGTGCCAGTGTGGAGCTGTCCAGTTCCCTAGCAACCTGCACTGCTCACACCTCCCAGCTGCTTGCATTCAGCCTTCAGAAAAAGCTTCATGGGCTGCTTTGTACAGGGGGGAAAATGCCCTTTTTTTTCTTTACTGGTTTTCTAACTGATTCTTTTTTAATTCTGCAAGAGATTAAACTGAGCTACTGCAGATGAAGCCACACAAGGCCTGAGTTGAGAAGGTTGGAAAATGGTGTTGGGGACCTGATCAGGATGTGGGTATGGGAAAAATAGCAATAACTGTCTGGATAACTGGAGCAGGAGGAATAGTAAGTCTGAATTTGGAAGGATAGGGCTGGCCATCATTTGAGTTTAGAGGGGAGGGGTCAATTGGAAAGGAATTGCAGTAAAAGCTGGTGACACTGGATCAAAAAATATTACGATTCTGGTAGAGGTAGAACTTGGAGGGAGAGTTGGGCAGAAAAGGAGTGAGACCTGGAAAGGGCTAGAGGAGATGAAGGAAGAAGCTGAGCATGAGTTCTGTGGAACTGGAACCAGGCTGGAATGGCTCGTTGCTCACCTGGGTGCATCAGTTCATAACTTGGGAGTTATAAGGAATTTCTTTTCCATCCTGTCTTATGCTTTGCTCCTGAAAGTGATAGAGACTTAGGGAAAGGTGAATGTGAATTCTGATCAAGTTGCTTTTTTCATCTCCGAGTATCACTAGAGGGCTGGCAGCCTGGTTTTCAGGGGAGGGGTTTTACCATTATTAAAGAATGGATTTGGGGATGTTTCAGTTCCCAGAGACTTTTTAGTTTTTCTATTTTTGCTATACTATATTAGGAAACTTCATCTGTGCAAGTTTGTGAGGTAGGATATAGAAGCTGTGTTTGAATTTTTAGGACTCTTTTTGTTACTCCTTACTTTTGAACTCCTTAGACCTCCTTACCAACACTTAATCTCTTCTGCTATGCCTCTTACTCATCTAAGCCCACGAAGAAAATGGCCTCAAGTCTTGCATATTTTTTGCTGGGTTAGGTTCTGCATGACTTAATTATTTTAGCAAATATAAGAGTTACTAGTGTAATTGTACAGGCTGGATTCCTTCTGAGACTCTGGCTGCTGCTGTTTGGTGAGTCACTCATATAAAGCAGAGGCAGATAGTTTGTTCCCAAGCCACTGTACCTCCTGGCTCAGGGGAGAAAGTGCTGCTGTACTCAGTAGCAGTGCAAGACTGAAGAACAAAGGGTTAGCTCTGATATCAGTTTGCCAAGACTTAAATGAGTCACTTAACCTTTTTATTCATGTTGTGTGGGTACATCTGGGAGAGAGGGGATTTATTCCTGTGAATTGTCTCTGAAATGTTATCTATACAGAACTCTGGCAGATGGAAGGCAGGGAAAAAACCAAAGTAAAACTGGCTGTAAAACACCTTTAAAAAAATTAATTTATTTCTCTTGTAGCTTTCCTTTAATATTGCCTTGTTAACTTAGCTTGCAAGTGGGGAAACAAGATTTACCTCTGCCCCTTCTTCCTGAAAGGATTCTACCAAGTTTGTTGGTTCAGAACTGCTCCTGGTAACTCCTTTAAATGCCAAGTGCTGTGGCTCAGTGTGAATGGGGATAATGCTAAAAAAGGTAACAGTACAAACAGGGGGGGTTAGATGTGTGTAATTCCTATCCAGAAGCTTACTGGGGAAAAAGCAAGGGGCCCATGCATATGCAATGAACAACACATTCCTAGTTTGCCTTGACTGGAATGACTATTTCAGGGGTGGATCTCCCGGGATGTTTAGTGCTGAATATAAATGCAGACCCTGACAGACGTGTGTGTGTGCTGTGTGTGTGTCCTGTTCCACTGAACACTGCTCTGTTTGTTTTAGGACTGTTGACAGTGATTTCTGGAGTAAACTTTTTGGGAGAATTCTGAATGCAGATGGTAAGTCCACAGCGCCTCTGCTGCGGGAGCTGAGAGAGGAAATCGGTGACATGTTTGACAGCTGTTTCCAAGAACGACTTTGTGAGTCCTTAGCTGCTCTGGGAGTAACCTTCCTCCTCTAGAATTTCCTGTGACTTCATAGAGGACAAGCACACCTTGTATTATAGAGAAGAATTTGTTGTTGATTTCTTATTTATTTTTTTTAAATGTAAGCATGACAGTGATTGCAGCTGTGTCTGCTGTGCTTCACATGGGACTTGCTAAAGGATGTTTCTGTTGCATCAGTGCCCAGATCACTTAAGAGGCTTAGGAGGTTAACCTGTGTCTGAGCAGTTTGCCAGAGAAAATTGTTTGTCATGTCTGCCCCCTCCCCTTGTACAGCTCCTTCAAGATGTGTTTTATGCCTAGTTCACACCGCGCTCTTTGGAGTGGCTTTGTCCTACGTTCAGTTGGCCTTTCAATTAGTGTTTGATCAATAAAGTTGTCTTTGGATAGCAACTCAGTCACATTAAACACTGCTGTCAGATGGTTTTGAAAGACTGGGTTTAGTGCTGGAGTTGCTGGGGATGTTTTGTGGCTGCTGGATACAAGACCCCCCCGTTTGGTGGCTCATAACCACGTGGCATTTCCCGGACACTGGAACATAACCTGAATGGTTCTACTTGGAATATGCTCTCATGGATGATTGTCATAAGAAAAAGTAGATGAAGACATGAGTGGAAAAGCCACACACTTAATTTTGGCTTCTTAAGGCAAGTGTTTTGTTTACTTTTGCAAGGGCTGCAGTTCCTGATTGGATTTGAGCATCCTCCAGAAATCTCCCTGAAGTCTCAATTTGCCATAAGTGAAGTGTTTGCAGGTTTTTGTGGGAGGTTTTGTGGATAGATATTTGTGTTAACCTTTTATACATTGTATTACTGAAACCAATACAAAGGCTTCATTTTATTCAAGACAACAGAATTTACAGGATCCAAACCCAACGTACTGTGTACTTTAAACGTAGAGAAACTCCTCAGACTTGGGATTTACTTCCTCACAGATTCTGCCACGCATGGAAGTGAGAGCACATGACTGCATCACCAGGAACTTTCATCTTCCTGGAAAGCCAAACTGGCTGGGTTCTTTCATTTGGTTCAATTGTCCAGCCATGGTTCTGCTGATTCTCCTGTTTGTGTTGTCTCCAAATTCTGTTCTGGAACTTAATTCTGTTTTTTTCACATGGCTACAAGCCACCTTGTTTCCAGTTTTTTCTGCCTATTCCAGCACTACTCCTCTTGCTTTGGCCTGTATTTTTTTCCTCTCCCAGCTTCCTAATGCCTTTTATATGCTCTTGTAAGTCAGGAATGGGACCTAAATGCCCTGATAGACCAGCTTTAATATCTAATGTAAACTGCTGCAGAAGAATTTATTTTGGTCCATTAATGCCTTAAATAATGTTTCTTGTAGTACAAGTCATTGATAAGTCATGTACTGAGCACGCAGATAAATAATGATTTATCTCTAGCCAGAGTTAAGAGCCCAAGATCACTGGTAGAGCAGCAAGGAGTCCAGTGCATAGCTAAGTTCTGCGAGCTCTAAAAACATTGCATGTTTGTTCTTTAGCTGAAATTTATTTTCTTTTGCTGATCCTCTAACTTTTGCCTTTTAGGCAAAATCTGGGAGGGTCTCACTTCCTCCTGTTTCAGTTTATATCCTGCAGCACAGGTCTGAAAACCAGGTAGCTTAGGAAGAGAACATTGCTAAGCAAGTATCGCTCATCCCAAGGACTTCTTGGGCAAGACATGTTTCCAGCCAGTACAGAACAACTTCACCATGTCTAATTCAGACAGAAAGCTTTTGAGAACAGCCTGAACGCAGAGATAAGAGCTCTCAGCAGAAGTTCAGCAAAGGTCTTTAAAAGCTGTAAGTGAACCTATTTGTCTACAAGGAGATGTATTTCAAAGCTGCAACCCTCCACTATTACTTTGATGTTGACTTGGCACCTCTTTTCTTTCTGAACAAAAAGTGTACTAAATCCTTCTCCGTGTAATAAGCCTGCAATAATCTGTAATAAGATCAGTTAGTCTTCATGTATGTCCCAGACAACACAAAACTGCCCCCAAGTACTGTAAAATAAACACAGCAGTGGCCTTATAACCCTGGCTGTAATAAACACACACAAATAACAGAGGGAGGAGCAGGGATAACAAAGAGCAGTCACCTCTTGTGCTGGTTGTTCTGTTCTACTCCAGTGAAACTCTGCCTCTCTTCCACACAGGTAAGTCTCTGCTCCCCCAGCCTACGAGCTCATTGCACCAACATGTACCAGGAGGACAGGGAGGTCTTCTTTTGACATCCTTGTTGTATGTTCAAGTAACTCCGCCTCCAACCTTCAAAGCTTTTCCTAAGCATCACTTTTGAATCATTGTGTAACAGGCAGATGCTCTCGCAGGCTGGGATTGTCACAGACTTGTCACGAAACAGGAGAGAGACCAGCCTTGCCCATGAGATATTTGGAGATGAAAATTGTCTTAGCAGTGTCCAAGGAAAAGAGGCAACTACAGATCCTGGGATGACAGGAAGTGCCACAGGGGGTGGCTGGCAGGGTGAAATGTGGGAAGGGTGTACAAGTCCTAGTCAGGTTATCACAAAACAATATGGTGATGGAATCTGAGCTCTAGTGAGTTTGAATACACTGCTATATAAATAAAAGTGCACCAAGGAAAATAAATCCAAGGAAGCAATAGATCATGGTTGTACCAGGTTGTTTGAGAATAAAACTTGACCAGAGATACAGCAGGGATGTCTGGAAGATCTCTGCAGTCTTGAAGTGCTTTGATTCAGAAACAGTGAGTGAATCAAGCTTTTAAAGTCCACTCTATTGTGTTAACTGGAAAGGGGTCTAGAAATAATGGCAGGAAGTCACCAAGCCACAAAAATATGCAACCTATAAAAAAATGGAGGCTGATTGAGCTGTGGGTGAGGCAACCCCCCCAGGTGTGAGCCATTTTCTGCACTTAAGCTCTGGCAGCTGCAGCTGGGGTTGGAGAAGGTGGTTCCACTGTCTCCAGGGCTCCTGGGGAATCAGTGCCCACACACAGGTGCTCCAGGTGACCTCTGAGTGTCAGGGAGTGGAACCACCAATGGTGGGACAGAACCTAACGATTTTCCAAGGTACACCTGCACATGGTTAAATATAGTGTGAGCTGAGACCAACTTTACCTCTGAAGAGATCGTTATAAGGAAGCTTAAGGAAGGCTGAGGAGCCCTCATCATCTTCTGGTCGCAAAAGGTATGTGATTTTTAGAGTTAAAATCCCAAGTCTGACATAATTGATAAAACTTATCAGATATATTCTGAGTGCAGTTATCTGAGATTTTCCCAGCCTGAGATCTGTGTTATATAGATTAGGAGGTGTAAGCTTGGGCTTGTGCTAGCAGGTAATACTTGGCTTTTTGATTTTCCAGAATGAACTAGAAGGGGTAGGAAACTCAGCAGGGCTACAAGGATCTCGTGTGGTGATGCAGGGAGAAAACTAGAAGGGCCAAAGCCCAGTTAAAACTTAACCTGAGTACTGCAGTAAAAACATAAAAACAACAGGACAAACAACAAAAGGAGGGCTGAGGAGAATCTATGAAGGGTGTTGGGGCACCCTCAGTAAGAAGTGGTTGAGTCACTATTCCTGGAAGGATTTAAAGGATATGTAGAGGTGGCACTTGGGGATGTGGTTTGGTGGTGGGCTTGGCAGTGCTGGTTGGGCTCTTAGAGGTCTTTTCCCACCTTAATGATTCTGTTATTCAAAGTAGACAAATCACCCCTCCTGCATGTGTATCAGCAAGTAATTCTAAACCATTCCTCTGTGCTGCTGCTGATTTCCCACTTAATAAATATTCCAAATGACCTGGGGCTGAAGTGCAGCTCCTAAGGTGCTGTGCTCCAGGCTGTGCCCCATGATTTCCCCTGAGGAAACCTGTGTACAGAAGATGAGAGTTCTTATTCTAAGAGAGTTATTTGGCTGTGGGCTGCAGAACTGCTGCTTAGAGTCTCTGCTTTAGCCTGGGGCTATGGGCACTGCATTTACATTAACTTATATGTCTGCTTATACAGACTGCCCTTAAAGCTGGATAAAGGACACTTTACCAGCTTCATTCGCTGGGTTCTTACTGATTTACACTCACTGCCCCTCTGCTTGGTTAATCCAGCAGAATGCCATGGTTGGAAACTTAGAAATACGAAGGTTTCATTTCCATAACATTTTAAATTATTAAACAACATGTGGATATTGAGGTCACTAAGTAAGACTGGGGAAAAATGATGTTCCTTTTGTTGGTTCTATAAATGGTTGTTTCCTACTCTCCTTTTGTAATAATTACCATCCAGAGCTATTTAATTATTGATCCCGTGGCTCCAGCTGGTGTGGCAGTGTGATTTACAAGGTAGGAGCAGCACCTGAGGGACACAAAGGCAACTGTCAGTGTTCAGGTTCTGGGCCTGAGCTGATGGTTGTTTTCCCAGTGCTTTGGATTCTCCTCAGTTTTCAGGATCTTGAGTTATGTGGTTCTTTGAAGCTAAACTAGTCATGTACTTTGATGTAGTGTGGTACTCTATGTAATCATTCACTCGGGAATAATTTTGTAGGGAAAAAAATGTTGGAATAGTGCAAAACTCAGTGGTGAACGTGGCTTGTTGGTGTGTTCCCTTAGTATCTGGTCAAAACAACCAGTAAAGGCACTGGGCCGTTCTGCCCCATCTGCAGCTGCTCCTGAAGAGCCACCTTGGGTTGGTGCTTTACCTGTGTGTGAACTGAACCGGCTGCAACTTGTCCTCTCCTGAGCCTGTTCCCTTGGTTCCCAGCCCAGCCCTCCTGATACCCTTTGAGAGAACAATGGCAGAGGGCACCCCTTGTTTCAGTGGCACATCCCCTTCTCCTGCTGTTTGTAGGGAACTAGGGACGGCTTTTCCTCATGCAGATTTACTGGAGCCACAGTCTTTTATCTTAGAAACTCTGGCTTAGATCCCGTCTAAAAGCAGCAGGTTTTTATCAAGATGTAAAACAACTGTCAGCTGGGAGGAGTCCTGACTGGCCTGAACCAGAAACCTTACTCTCAGCTGTGAAAGCAGTCTCTGATTTGCTTAACATGGGCAACGTGTAACAGGAAAAGTCCATTTTTTATGCAATTAGAAAAGTTATTATTCCTCCTTATGTCCTGGAAAAGCACATTTTTCACTTGGGGAGTTGGACAACAATGGAAAACTCTCTATGATCCTGTTCTCAGCTCTTTGAACACATAATTCCCACGCAGCTGAACATGGGAGCCACCTTCACTGCATTTCTGAGCATTCATTTCTGCTCTACATGTGCTCCATGCACCAAGTCCAAAATGGTGTTTTCCTTCCTTTCAGCTGAACTGAGGAGGCTTTTATCCAAGTCAGCAGTACATATGTCCACACATCAGAACATTCTCAATTATAAGCTGAAGTTTCTGCGGGCTTTCACTATATGGCACATTCTTCACTGTCTTAAACTTTATTGTGGTTTCCATGGTGATCTTTCCTGATGCATCCCCAGCCTTTCCTACAGGATGCTCAGCAGTGTGGGTGGAGTGGGAAAGGCAGAACAACTGCTGTGTGAGGAGGAACACACTGGTGCATCGGATGAGGCTTATGGAAAAGAGTTACTTTTCCAGTTTCCCTAATAAGTACACACTGGTCCTCTTGAAATGGGAGACAGCAAATTAGGAAACGCTGTTTGAGTAGTTGGCCTTGTTGAAAAGGAGAGATGAGAGCCCTGCTTCTCCTGACTTTTCCTACCATTTCGTTACAGTAAAAGCCAACCTGTTGGGTGCTGAGCTGTGGGTGCTTTAGCAAAGCCCTTGTAATGCTTTTGTAGTTTTGTTAGACAAAGAGGGTTCCAGACTGAGGACAAACCTTCCCCTGCCCACTGCTCCTGGCTCTGCATGAGAGACTGGACAGGTCATGGAAGTTTGGGGTTTGCTCATTTATAAAACTGGTATTGTACTTTTACATATATTTTTCTTACCTACATATGCATATTTATAAATTTTTTGTTTCTGCCGAGGAGAAATGGCTCATAAAACCAAGGTAACACTACACTTAGTTGCTGCTTTTCCTCACCTGCTTTGGGATGGGAAACTTCTGTGGCTCCCTACCACAGTGATGCTTCTGGGCAGTTGAAATGCGCAATGCAACCAGTAATATGGCACCAAAATAGGCTTGGTATTGATTAGTATCCAGAGACTAAAACAGGGAAAGCATTGCTCTGCCTGGTGCTGTTGTTTAAAGCTGGAGTGTAGCTGTTCCACCAGCTGCCAAGATCCAAGCTGTTTTCTTTGAAAACCTAAGGGATTTTTTAACTTTTACACTGAATTTTGGGCCTTGACCTGTATCTTGGTGAATAATTCTTAGCATCCAACTTCTGGGATGTCACTCTCCTGTCAGATTTTGGTGTGATGGATGGTTGCATGTTTGGTTTGGGTGCCACACACATAAATAATACTCCTTTGATGTCTATGGTAGCTTTCCTGTCCTGGTCTTAAACCACCCTTTTATTCCATGTGCATTTTAAAATTATTATTTTTGTTCCTGTCAAAGTTTATAATCCTCCATTTCTTCTCTCTTCTGTGTTTTGCAATTTTCATATGTGCTAAATGTTTCCTTCTCTGAGGGTTGGGGTGATGTGCAGTGGCACCTCCATAGCCAGGGCCAAGGCAGCCAGTCCCAGGAGCTGCACTCTGCCCCCGGGGTCCCTCCAGCTCTGCATGTTCTGTGATCCCAGGAGTTACTGCAGAGCCTTTCAAGAAACCAGACTTTCTGTGACTCCAGAAGCCAGGCTCTGTCCTCCCACAAGTGTATCTTAGTGATGCTGCAGAGTTTTTTGGGGGTAGAAGTTACTACACAGACACAGTTATTTGCCCTCAAAAGCAGTGAGGAGCTGGAAAGCTGAATCCAGCTCTAATGAATGAAATCCCAAAGCTGGCAGCATTCAGCACTTTCATGAGCTGGGGATATTTTCTAGCAAGAAAATTATTTTCTGAGACTTGTTGACAGAAACATCAGGAATGGATCTGCTGCCTTTGTCTCCACCCACCCCAGCCAAGAGTGGGGGGAGAGAAGCAGCTCTTTATAAATAGCTCTGTTCCTGTTGTATTTGTAAATTCGGTGCTTTTTGTGTCAGTGACATCACCCTCTTCTCCATGGCAACCCCCTCCGATGGCAAAACTGCAGGGCACTGCCAGAGGAACTCAAACCAGCACATGAACAGGTTGAATCGAGATGAGTTAATTGAGAAATAGTGCAGGGGCAACAGGAGGGGGTGGGAAACAGCAGCAAGGAGGTTACTGCCAGCTCTGCTGCTCCAGAAAACTGTCCCTGGAATGGCTGGTTCCCAAAGCTCTGCCCCATCTCCTCTTTGTGTAAGTCCCTGTCAGGAGGAGGCAGGTGGAAGGCAGGCAGGCATCTTATTCCCCATCTCCTGTGTGTCTGGAGAGCAGCACTACAGGTGACTAAGCAGGAGGAGCATGGCTGACTCACTCCTGAGTTATTTTCTCACTCCTGTTCTCTTCCCCCTCCCATCTTTTCTGTTTGTTTTTTAGCTTTCACCCGACAGTTTGCATTTTTCCCCAGGCCCTGATGTGAAAGAATTAGCAGCAGGCTTTCTTGTTACCTAATGTTCACAAAAATGTGCTTGTGGTTATCCATGGGGGAAATGGAAGCCAACTCCAAAAGCAAGAAAAAAGAATTCTCTGGATAAAACACCTTCATCTTAAAAGAAAAAAAAAAGCGTCTCCTTTCTGAATGTTGTTCAGGAAATACTAAAGTGACTGACATGCCAGAAAGCTGTAAATAACTGGCTTCCTTATCAAGATACCTGTGGAAAATACCTAATTGCCTCACTGGCTGCCCTGCTGGTCTTGACTTGATTTCTGAACCAGCTGCAGTGGGGGAAGCCATTGCACTTGCTGCCTTGACTACAGCATTGGGTTCTGCTGGTTTCCACTTGGGACTGAGGAGCAGGAACATAATGGTTCCAGCTGCTTCAATCAGCTTAATCAATCTGTCCTCATTTACACGCCTATGAAGTCTGAAACCTTAGAACAGTTTCCCTTCCTTCTGCAGGGTGCCAGGAGATCTGGTGCTGAAATTTATCCTGCAGAGCTGTCAGCCTTGTATTAGAATTGGTGTTTTTGTGACACAGCGGGACACGTGCTGGTCTTGTGTAACTTGTCCAACGTTCCCAGAGTCCTGACATCCAGAGAGGGGCATGGCAACACTCCTCACCCTGGGAAGGAACTCTGTGATGGGATAGCACTGCACCTGCCAGTCGTGGCCTGCTGTTTGCAGGGCCCAGGAGCCTTGAACCACAGACTCTCCCAGTGTGAGGCTCTGTTACTGCAGCTCCCTCCCCATCCCAGCGTGAAGCCAAGCCTGTGATTTCCAGGCTTGGTTGAGGGGAAATGCACGGAGTCTTTACACACCGGAATCTTGATGAGTATCTTGCTCTTGCCTTTTGTGCAAAATGCCACTCAAGGCACTGTGCCATCCTCTCTGCTGAGCTCACAGCATCAGCCCACGACAAGAAAGGTCCCAGAAAACATTGACTCACTGCATCCCAGCATCCTGCCAGGGGATGTGTCTGCAGTGAGATCTCCTCAGCTGGAGCGAGGTTGAATGGAATGGATCACTGTGAGGCTGTTTTACCTTCCCTGAGTGTGCTGCCACCTGTGCTGCCTGCCAGGACAAGGGCTGGGGGCACTGGGATCACTGCCAGTGCTGGGCAGGACGCAGCTGGAGCTGGGGGTTTGCATGTGCAGGAGGAGCTTTCTGGAGAAGCTTTCAGATGAAATTGCTGAGAATTTTTGCCTGAAGCAAGGGATGTTTCCCATGTTTAAGACAAGCAGTAACCTGCAGTTAGAAGGAAGAAGGGACTGAATTCACTCCAGAAGTATTTCTCCGGGATCTTTTTTTCAAGGTAAGCCTGCTCTTGTGGGAGGTAGATGGGGCAACAGGGTCCACTGTTCTGAACTCTAAAACTGAGGCGATTTCTACATTTTTGTTACCTTCCCAAGCTGTAGAACTGAAATAAATCTGTCTCTGGCACTCCCTTTTTGAGGCTGAAAATTTAAATCGGCCAATAAGAACTAATTTTCTGAGGTCTGAAGCCATAAAAAAGGGGTGAGGGAGAATGTTTTTAACACTGCCGTGTGCCTGCCTGTGTTCCAGTGGTGAATGAATGCCTGACTGTGCCTCTAAACCATATATTTAAATAGCAGAATAATGGGTGTTGTACAACAGCAGGTGAATGAAAGTAAAATGTAGTACATAGACATCAGCTTATGGTTTATTAATTTTATTTAGTGGTTTTAAACATTTATAGAGTATTTGTTGTCCTGTAGGAGGCAAAATGATGGTTCCTGCCTTGGGAACTTGAAGGTTTTTAATTGGCACGGTTTGAAGAAATGTTGGTGAAAGCAAGAGAAAGGAGATAGGTTTTTTAAGCATCTGTTTGAATGGCACCTGAACAACCACTTTATTGCTGTTGAAAACTATTTGTGGAGAGACCAGGTCCTTGTCCCAGCTGCAGGAAAAACCTTATTTAAGGTAGGAAAAAAATACCTTGAATGTACAGAGTTGGTTCTGAAAAATACCTGGTAACATCTAAAAATTGCGTAATCATCTCCTCCTGCCCAGTATAAACCATAAACTGAAACTCCTCCCAGCTGGGAACCCTCCAGACTGAGAGTTGTGTGCTTAGGCTGTGGGGGATAAATTACAGTCCTTGATGAAAGTCCAGTGGAGGTGCTGGAGCCTTGGAGGAATGCACTTGCTGGGCCTGAAAGTGCATCTTCCCTTTGCACACTAATGGATCTGATACCTGTATGCAGTTCTGTTTTCCCCATGGAAAAGGAATAGTATGTGTGCCCATAAAAGCAAATCCACCTTCTGTTTAGGGAAGTAACTGTAGTCTGTAAACTCTTGGAAAAAGCCTTGTTGACACTGTGAGGAGTGAAATGAAAATGCTTTCTGGCTGCTGCCTCTTCCTTTCCCCAGGCTGGGGGGGACTGGAGCGGTACCTTCAGGGAGATTTGTGCTCTGGGAGGGGTGAGGCTGCCTGGGGAAGGGCACCTGTGCCTGTGTGAAGCCAGGGGTCTGTGCCAGGAGGGCCGGTGCCCGCAGCCATTGCATAACCCTGGGCTGGCTCCACAGCCACTGCCAGGCGCTGGAGCAGCCAACGCGCCTGGATGCTGTGCTACAGTTGGATTCCACTTGGTGGAAGTAGTTGAGGGTATTCCTGCCAACTTCCCAGGCAGGAGTCATCCGTTCTGCCTCTGTCGCTTGGGGAGCATGAATGAATGACTCTTGAAACATTAATGTAGAGCAGCTTCCAAGAATGCCGTGTACTGAAGCCTGGAATACATTGTGATCTGATTCACGAGCCAGGGTCAGCAAAGGCTTTGAAGAGGTGTTTACCCAGTGGGTGGACACGCTGCACTTCAAACTGCCCAAGAAAACCACAACATCAGAGGGCAGGGGAGCAAAGTGTGAGCAAAGCCCCAGAGGAGCAGGGGAACCCAAGAGGGACAGTAGGAGCCACACGCTGTGGGCTGGTGGATGGGACAGCACAGCAGCTTGGGGATCTGGGGGGCTATGGAAGGTGCTGTTGCTCTTGGCAGTGTCACTTGACATCATTTCAGATTGGAATTCTGTATAACCAGTGTTCAGCACCAAATCATGCATGGAATGGTTCTTTACATGGGTAAAACCCTGTGTTTTGGTTGATAGGATTTCATGGGAGAGGGAGACTTTCCGCAGCTCCAGAGAGGGATCAACAGAAGGAAACAAGTGATGCTGCTGAAGAATGCAAAGTAGAGCAAGCTAGATAAAGGTGATCCTAATTGAGGAGGAGGGTTGGTATTTAATTAAAACTACTTCTAAAACCCAGGCTCTTAGCAGTAAAATAAATAATATCAGGACATGAGTAATTCCTCTTGGGGGAATGTCAGAGACAAAATTACACTAATGTAATAATGAGGGGCCTGTGTGCAATTGCTCAGAGGAATAGGAACAGGGTAGAAGGATTTTTCACTGCTAAGAAGTTCAAATGTGGTTCAAGTCAAAAGGGACTGAAGCCTGTTAAAGCACAAGCTGCTTGGGGCTCTTGGGCTGTCTGAGCTCCTGAGCTGGACTTGGCAATCCCAGCACAGAGCTGGAGGTCGAGCTCCTGAGCTGCTGTAGCAAATAATGGCAAGTTCAGTGTGGCACTTGCACTCCTGCTGCTCAGTCAGGGTGTTTGCAGTGGAGTAAAAATAAGTACTTCAGGCCAGACTTGGGACAACTGAGCCATGTGTCATGCAAGTGGAGGCAAAAAAGGACATTAAACCATCTTGATCTTCCTTATTTCCCTCCCACTCCTCATTTCTAGTTGTGAAATCATCTCGGAGCTCTGCCTGCATTCCTCAAGCTGTGATGCCCGTTTTGATGAGGTGGTTAAATAGCATAAACTCATTAAGCACTCCTGACTAATACTCATACTGTGACATAACAGCATTTCTTCTCCATAGCTGGCTTGCATAATGCTGCATTTCAGTTTGGGTTACCCTTTCCATGTCATGCTTCTCATTTCTGTGATGTCCATCTGTTTACCAGACAAGGTTCTGGCGGCGGGGGCGGGGGAATAGTCTCGGAATACAAAAAGAACAAGGCCCACAAGTGAGGCCAGCTGGGGCTGGGAGCAGCCTGGTCCTGAGCGGTGAGTGCAGCCCCGCTCCAGCTCTGAGCGAGGTCACTGGTGCATCCCCAGCTGAGGCCCTGCAGCAGCAGCCCCTGGCCGGGCCTGTGTCCTGCTGCTGTGCTGTGGAGAGGTGAAGCACCACGTGTAGGAAAGATGGCTTAGTTGTTAAAATGGAACATATCATTTCAAACTAGATAGCAAATGTACCCGGCAGCTGCAGCAGAGGCAGTGACTGTGAACGGATCATGTCAACTTGATGTCTCTGAGCTTGATTGGTTTTCCCCTGAGAACGGGTTCAGCTGGGCTGTCTGTGGTGTCAGGGCTACCTTAGTGATGCCCTTCTGGCCTTCTGACTCTCCTTTCTGCCACAGGTATCTGTTCTGGATACCTTTTTTCCCCCACCTGTGTCAGCCTTGGAGTTTTCTTTCAAATCTGTGACTTCTCAAGGCACAGCAGGAGCTGAGGGTCTTTATAGCAGAACTGGAGAGCTGGGCTTAGATGGGGAGAAGAGGTGTGAAAGTCTTCCCTTAATCTGGACCAGGAACAGAGGAGTTAATATGTGCGGTGGCCAGAAGGCTCTACACAGATCTTAAAATATCCAAGAACAGGATAATTTGGCTTAAAAAACCATCTGGGTCTTGATTCAATGCTCATTAAAATTCATAGTAGCCTTATGACTGGCTTGTGGAAGAATTAAGCAGGGTGTTACACTTCATAATGAGTACTTTGGGCCCTGGCCAAGAAAGTACATCACTGCCTATAACAATGCTAGAAATTAACTTCTTTCCTGTAACATACAGCTCAGAATCAGGATCTTTGAAGCACTTGTGGAAGTCAGTGAAAAAGCTCTGCTTTCAAGGGATTTTGCATTGCACCCCCAGAACAGCTGTTAGGGCTGACTCTGGGAACAAGTCTCTCGGGAGTGGCCTCTGAGCTGTTCCTGCTGCAGCAAGCTGTCCACTTTGGGCACACTCACAGGGAATCTGCAGGAATCAGAGCTCTGAGTGTGCAGGGAGAGGGGGGAAATCAGACTGCAAACCCAGCTGCTGCTCTGCAATATACGGGCCATAAAATGAAAAATGTGTGCTGTTTATTTCATTAGAAACGTAAATGTAATAACTAATGTCACACACAGTTCAGGTCTTGTAGCACCTCATCAGCCATAGGATGCTCCTGTCTGTGACTGATACTGAGACAAACTCCTAATTTCTGACCCTTTCTTATAAAATACTGGCTGGTGTTAACAGGGAAGAAAATACCAATTCTGCTGCTCACTCCCAAATCGGGAGTTTGCAAAGCTCTTTGGGCTTTTGTGCTCTCTTCCAAGTTCTAAATATGTTCTCCCGAAGCGTCTCGGAACAGCAGCTGAGTGACGTAAAGCTGAGCCAGGAACTTATTTAGGGAACGTTGCCTTTTATTCCTGTGGCATTTAAAGGCATGTTTTTAAAAAGGTCTCTTAGAACTCAGGGTCACCTGAATTGTGTCTGGCTACTCCTAACTGGTGGTCTGGGATCACCTTCAGTGGGCTGTGGCTGTATCTTCAACAAATGGCAGTCCCAGTTTAAAGAAGGAAATGAAGGAATTTTCCAGATAACTACTCAAGTATTTCTGTAAGAAATCTTTGTTCACAACTCTACCCCAGGCTTTCAGTTTTCATCAAAGTTCTGAAGACCTAAATAAGAAAATGCTCATTTTGACTGTTAACAAGAATTTGTTTTCAAAGGTCACATGTGCAAATGAACCAAGTTAATACTTATTTTATTTGAACTTTTTTTTCTGAATTCATTTACTTGTAAAATTTATTTGGCACTTCAGAGAGCACAGAGCAAGAGAAGTGTTTTTGAATTAGTAACTTGAGGAATGATGAAGTAGATGATGAACTGAAGTTTTTCAGTTATTTTCACAATGTCATCTTCAGAATCTCTAAATGTGCAGAATGGGAAACATTACATTTTATTTACAGTTTAAATGGCTATGTTTTATGTCGCTCCTTCTTGAATTATTATAATTCAGAATGTGGAGATTTCCTTTAATCTTTATATAGATATAAATAGATATGTCTCAGTGGATTATTTTCTAGTGTCATGCAGAAGAGGATTCCAGTTGAGTTATTCCACCATGGTTCCCCTCTCCCAGCAGGGCCCAGGCTCATTCCAAAGGAAGGACATTTGCTCTGCCAGGAGCCAGCAGGTCCATGTGCTCAGGAGGGCTGTGGCTGTGCCCAGTCTGTCCTCTGGAACAGGCATTGCCTGACTTGAGTGCACGTTTCAGTTCCTTGCTGTGGGATCTGACAGCATTAATAGTTGCACACATGCTTTGGGTGATTCTGAAACTTATTTTTAATGGAGAAAATGGCAGTTGCAGCTTTACTGTGTGTGCTGCTGAAACTGTGTCCCAGAGCAACCAGCACCTCACACTGTCTTTAGGCTGGGATTGAGGCTCTTATAAATTCCAGCCCAAATGAAGGCTGGAGGAGATTGCTGAAGATAAACAAAATGAGAGGCTTCTGTAACTACTGTCAGAAAAGACCAAAAATCACTCTTATGGGAGGTAGAAATGAACTTTTCCTCTCTCCTCTGTTGTAGCACTTAAGAGCACCAGACAAGGATGTCACAGCTACCATTTTTCTATATTATATCAATAAATCTCTGAGTGGGGATTATAACCATTTAATCCTTTCTAGCCCTTCCCGAGGACTCCAGAGCATTCACAGCTTGTGGAGCCAAGGGAAACTGAGGGTACAATATTGGGACAAGCTGCTTTCAGTGGCAGAACAAGCAGGTCCAGTTCCTGCACTGCAGGTTTGTGGCTGCTGAACTGTAGGCCAGGCTGCTGAGAAAAACAGCCTGAAAATAAATAATAGTAATAATAATAACATCCCCCACACACGTTTAACTCTTCACCCATCCCCTTTCCAGTGAGAGGAAAGCCAATGCTTGGTCCAGCCTCGGCAGCTGGAGCGGGTTGAAGTAAGTTTTGAATACTCATCCCCTGGCAAGGGGTTGAGATGCATTTTGGATGTTCGTCCCCATCGCAATAGTCAACCCTTCCATTTTTCTCTTCCTCGGATTCTATTCCAACAGCTGCCCAACCTTCCCCCCAGATAAGCTTCCATACAGCACTGGAGGGCAAAGGCCTGTTCTGCCCCTGCTGTCCAGGGGGGCTGCTGCTGGGAGGGGATGTGACACCCGTTCCCTGCACGGGATTAGCAGTGCAGCTTCCTGATTTTCCTGAGGTGGGCTGAATGCCTTCAGCTGCCTAAGGCTGAGTTGTTCACTGCCTCCACAAGCAAGTGGGATGGGAAACCTGTGCTGCATGGAGCCACGTGCCTGGATTTTGACAAGCATAAGCTCCAACCCTCCAATTATTCTAAGCTCTTGAGAGTTGGGTTTGAACGTACCCAGAGGTAGAGGGTGAGTAATGTCAGCACAGGGTGTTAGACTTGTGCTGCCGTTATTTTGGCCACTAGGAATTTGCTGGATTCTGGTTAATTCTGGAGCGATAGCTGACTGACCTAGTTATTGGGGACAGAGGCTGGGTCTGTGCTCCTCTGCTGCCAGCCAGGGATTTCAATCTGCATTTCTATAGCATCCTCAAGGATCGCAGCTTGCTTGGAAAAACAACAGATTAAGCCGCCTCTGTTGTGGGGGAGTTGAGCATTGTCACAGTCATTTTACCAGCATGCAGAATGACTTTCCCAAGGTGACCTGGGAATCTGTAGGCAACGCCGGCTTTCTGCTGGGATGCTGCCATTGCAGGACTGATCGTCCTGACTTCTGTGGGAAGCAGCAGATGCACCTTTTGGAGAGGATGGCACAGGCTTGTCTGGTGGGGCGTGACGTTACTTCTGTAATAACCAAATGAGTGTGTGCAGTTTTTGCAAGTAAAAGATCTGGAAGAGGTGTGAGGTGGCTGTGATCCAAGCTGTATTGATTTTATCTGCAGGGAACGTCTACCAAGCCACAGGAATTTAACCAGTAGCAAAATAGCCTGTGCTGCGTTCAGGTGATCTTCTTGAGCTTTAACTTCAACTTCTCACCAGAGTGGGAGTTGAAATTTTTAAAGTCTGCTGTTTCCTTACTCTCTTTAAGCTTAACCTGCTTTCTTCACTTAATGGAGAGGGTGATCAGGCATCAGAAGGGGCTGGAGGTGGTGGAGTCCCCAGCCCTGGAGGTGTGCAAGAAATGGCTGGACATGGCACTCAGTGCTCTGGGCTGGGTGACAAGGTGGTGCTGGGTCAAAGGGTGGACTCCATGATCTTGGAGGTCTTCTCCAACCTTTAGGATTCTGTGATTCTTGCCTCTGGTGTTCTCAGTTTGGCAGAATTTCCTTGTGCTGTTTCCTTGCTGGTTGTGCTTTGTTCCACCATTGGAGTTGCCTGGCCCAGGAGAACCTGGCTGTAACCCAAGGAGAGCCTGAAGCAGCACGAATTTCCTTCGTCCATGTGACCCAGGCTGATTGTGTTTGGAATATGCATATGGTGAAGAGGGACTCCAAGCTCCCCACTGCCCTGGCAGATTTGAATGTGCTCTGGCTAAACCAACTTCCATCTCTTCAGCTCTGGTGCATTTGTGTTTTGTTTGGAACTGGAAAAAAATGCCACCTGGTTTGGACTGTAAATCTTGGAGAGTTTACAAGCACACGGGGTAAGCTTGTGCGGTGGGAGGGCCGGAAGGGCTTTGTCCTGCTGGGATCTCTGGACACTCCCTGGACAAGGGCAGCAACGCATAGTGAGCAGGAGGATAACCCAGCCTTGGCTGTGCAGGCAGCTCTCCTGGCAGCTCCTGCCCCCTCTGAACCGACAGCCTTGGGGGAAGGTGGCTGAGCTGTGAGCACTCAGTTAAAGCGAAACTGCCTCTGGATTGCTTCCTCCTTATCTCCAGCCCTGGCTAATGTCATGTGGTGATTATGAGACTCCCAGACCTGATTCCTATCTCTAGCTTCCTCCCACCAGTTGGTGCTGATGTGTGAATTTGCAACACAGCTCGTCTCCTTGTGACCCCTCTGGCCCCATCCTTGGTGTATTTTGTTCACTTCCCTGACCAGCTTACTCTGGATTTGCAGAGCCGTGAAAGAGAAGAGGGGAGGGATTCTTTGTGGAAGAGCATTTGTACCCCGTATCAAACCCCTGAGCTCAGTGGAGCCCTGCTGGAAGGTCTGGCTCTGTGGGTGGAATTGCTGTAGTTCTTATTGGGACTTCCTGAATGTATCAGATTTCCTGTTCCTTAGTGTTAGGCTTCTCCTGGAAGCTTTGTTGAATAAAAATGAATTTTCCTTAGCAGTTTTCCCAGTTCCCACAGGCTCCAGACAGGTGGGCAGGTACATTACTCCTGGCTGAGGTAGAAAAAAGAGAGTTGGCCTGGTAGAGTTGGCCTGTGTGTTTCTGACTTTTTACTTTTGAAGTTTAGAAGTGCCCAGTCTTGCCTGTTGGAATAGGAAAACATTGAATAGTGTTTTTTTTCCTCACAAAAGTATGTTCTAGTAGAGATGGACAGGGATTCAATGGAACCTACTGCAGCAGTGCGGGACGTGAGGTCCCGGAGCTCTCCCGGCGCAGTGACGTGACTGGGCAGGGTGAGGAGCGAGCTGAGATCAGCACTTGGGATCTGACATTGGCTTTGCTTCGTGTCTGGGGAGGGGACAGGGAGCACGGAAGGACCTTTGCTGGCAGATAAATCAGACAGGCTGAGATGCAAGCCTTTAGTCAGCATAGCCTGCAGCACTTGTGCTGCCAGGCCTGGAGGAGCAGCACAGAGCAGCCATAGGAGTGGGGTGTGGAGGCCTGTGTTTATAGACATGGACCGGTATAATTATTTATATTGTCTTGAGCAATTCTCTAGGTAAGAAGGGAGCAGTGGCCAGGCAAGGAGCAGTGAAATGTGTAATAAAGGAACAGTCGCTAAAGGGGAAAATTAGAGGTGCGTCGCTTCTACTGGGAAATTTTTCTTCAAAGTGTGTAGGACTGCTGGGACCAAAGTTGTGAATAGGAAGACTGGAAAGTGTCCAAATTTTTCATTAAGATTGCAGGCAGCAGAGGTTCACACCGACTCAGAGCTGCCTTGGTTTCATCTAAGCTTGTGTCTTGACAAGTAAAATCAGGCTCTTCCATTTATAAAGAACTTCTCTTGTTCTAGAAGACTGTCTCAGCACATAACCCAGGAAATACAATCCTCATGCAAATCTGGAGCCAGCTCCAAGCCTGGGTGACTCCTTGGAGACTGTAAATGCCATTTGTCTGTGGCGCTCCCAATGCCCTGGTGCTGTGGGTGACTCCTCTGTGCCTGGCACAGCAGCAAAGCCCGGGTGCACAGATGACAGGGATAGTTTGTGCTCCCTGACGCGTTCCTTCCACACCTCTGGATCACCTCAGCTTCCTCCCCTCTGATCCTCCACCGCGCTGCTCTGCCGTGGAGTTCCAGCCTTTTGGGAAGGAATGCTGTCCCCTCTCCTATTCACTATTCTTTACTATTAACAGGAACTTTCATTTTTTGATTACATCTGGGTACGGGGCCTGCCCTGGAGGAGCTAATCCCCAGACAGAAAGGAACCTGGCTAAGTATTTCCTGCATCCTAGGGAGGGAGCAGGCAGGAAGCCCGGGTCTCTGTGGCAGGCTGTGGCAGGCAGGGACCTGCAGTGGAACATCGAAGTGGTGACTGCACGCTCAGGAAGCAGCCTTCCACAACTTAGCTGGCAGGTCTGGAAATGAGGATTAGGAACCTCAGACCATCAGCTCCACTGCCAGGATTACCTTTAGGTTCTCTCTATGAACCCCAGTTCTTTTCTCCATTATAGTCCCATAGAGCTGGTGAATCCCAACTACCTCTGTGACTCTGGTTGTTGCACAAACATACTGCAGCCTTTTGAGGTGGGATGGAGAGGTAGGAAAAGAAATGGGAATGAAGGAACAAGGTTAAAAGGTCACTGGGCTGGCCCATCTCTGCTGGACAAGCCACTCCCAGCAATAATGATGACAGCCTAATGGTTGTTTGTACCATGTCAGTTATTTATTTTAAGGGCAGTTCAAAAAACAAACAAACAACCACCCCCCCCCAAAAAAAAAGAAAAAAAAACCACCTCAAAACAAACCCCTAAAAAGTCTTGGGGGTGGATTTTTCCGGCTTTTGTCTCTGGTCTTTGGACCTAAAAACACCTGAGGGTTAAGCCAAGGTTGTTAGTGGTTTGGAGGGGCCAAGAAGCCTCTCAATTTGCAGTGGAGCAAGAGCAGCTGATAGGTTTGCTGACAGGAACTCTGACCTCTCCTGGGCTGTAATCCCCCAAGTGTCCTCTGCCCCTTTCACCTACGTGTCCGATGCTGCTGGTGGTGGAGCTGGTGTCCTGCTGGGCACGAGTCATTTGGGGAAAGTATTTCCAGGAGTCAGGAAACCCAGAAGCACAACGGGACGGGAGGGTGATCCCAGACTCCAGAGCCGGCAGCACTGACTCACTCAGGTAGGACAGGGCAAAAGGAAAAGCACCAGGTCATGTGCTGCTCATCTGCAATGCAAATCAATGGGGTGAATTCTTCTACAGCCAGCCATAGAGCTGGCAATCCAAGCTTTCCTGCCAGGAATGACAAGGGATTAGTGGCAGGTTCTGAAACACAGGGTGAGATGGCGGGTTCTTTAGGAGCTGTAGCAGCTCCCGGCCCCAAGGCTGTGGAGCCAAGAGAGAAGAGCCAGGGAGCGGAGCTTTAATAAGTCACGGTGGAGTGGGGCGGTGAAGAAGGGTGGAGGGGAATAGGAAAGGATCTCCCCAAGGTTCTTGCCCAAGACCCAGCACACCTCGGTGCCCAGGTGTGACTCTGAGCTGTTTCTCTCTCATTCCCTCTAGGGACCAAGAAAGAAGACAAAGAGGAGAAGGTGAGATGGTCCCAGGAGGCTCTGCTTTCAGCGTATGTCGTTTTCCGAGGCTTCTCTGTGCCGAGTGCTTCTGTGTCCCATCTGCTACCACACCCTGAAATCAAACTCGGCAGCTTAGGTGCACCAGGCACTGTACAAACATGTCAGACTTGCCTCCACCCCTTTTTCTACTCCCGCTTTCTCCTGCCGTCTTTCTCTCTCAAGTTTATCGGCGTGTCAGCGGATTCCGGTGGCGGAGCATTCCCACCTCACCTCTGGGCACAGAGCAATGAGGAGTCAGGGGTAAGTGCCCTCCCGCAGATTTGGGGATGGACGATGACTTGCTTGCTTGCTTTAAAGCCATAACAGCCATCCTAATGGCCGCTGTTCTGTGGGATTTGTGCCCTGTGTTTACAGAGGACTGGGTTTGTCAGTTTGAACTAATGTCTCCACTCCCCAGTGGCTGTGCTGCCTTGGCTTAACCCCTTCCCTTCGGAGCTGAGCCGTGCCACGGATCGGTGTAACGATCTCACGTGTGTTGGCAGTACCAGCCTGGGGCGAAGGGAGAGCAGAATAGTTCGAGGGGTCATACAGTTTTTTCTCTCAAGGGATGGTTCTGGATGGGAAGAAAAACTGGGAGCTGGATTCCTTTGCGAAGGAGTTTACTTCATCTTTGCTCCTATAGCCCAGCAACACTGTCCTCCAATCGGCTTTGCTGCATGACAGTGGGAGAGTTTGCCTCCAGACCCTTCTTGCTCCTCTCCCTTGGAATTGTCCACCACCAGCATTGTTGCAACAGGAGTGCCAGTAAGATCTTGTGTTTTTTGCTTCCCAGGGTCTTTCAGGTGGGACGAGGTGTGGGGCTGTGATGTTGGGGTCTGGTGATTCAGCCGACTGACACTCAAGAGGATGGGGAGTGCAGCAGGGAAAATGCCTTGTTGAATCTGAGAAGGGTGATGCTCTTAAAACCTTGAGATGAAGAAGGGGTTAAGAATTGCTCTGGATGATGCTCGAGAGAGCAGACAGCATGTCAGGAACATGCAGCTCGTTGCCTTTAAGGGAGACAGAGTAACGTCTGCTCTGAAGTCTCCGCTATCTGCGAGGACCCTCAGTGTACCTTACAGAGAGGTCTAGTTAAACCCTCCTGTGTGTACTCCCAACCTCGGGCTGCTGTGCTGGCCAGGATCTTTCCAGCACTCCTACTGAAGCCACGCTGTAGTACTCGTGTGGGGCTGGGTGTGAGTGTGTTTTGGCTGGCTGGAAGTTGGGTAATCTCCTCCTATTTAAGTTACAATCTACGATTCTATTGGGCATTTGTACTTAATTATTTTTGTCAGGTGGTAATCAACTATACAGCCAGGTATGTGCAGCGACAGAAACCAGTCCTGTCCATTAATCTTTGCTTTCTTCTTTGCCAGGACACTAGTGCTTTAATGTATTTGGGGACAGAGCACTGAAAAACAGAAGAGAAATTTGTGGTGAGTGCAAGCTCTTGGGTGAGGCTGGGGGATGTATGTAGAGTAAGAGATATTTGCTGAGTCTTCCCCTGCATTTCTGAGTTCTGTGCTTGGGTAAAACCTGAGTCAGCCCTTACACAGCTGCTGGGGACGGGAACCTGCTGCCTGACTCTCCCTCCAGCCCTGTCCCACCGGAAAGTCTCATTCCTGAAGTGTGATGAAGCTGTATATTGATGTTGATATTCCGTGCTGCCTTGGTATGGACATGGTGTGTGCTGTGGGAGCAATGGCTTTTGTACCCAGTAGCAAAGCTGACCAAACAGTGGCCAAGCAGATAGCTGGCTGGATTAGTAACTGTGCTCCCAGATGGAAAGCCTGCTCCCTGCACAGGGGTTTTTTTTGTCTAGATGGGTGTGAGCATGGTTGTACCTGGGAAGGACACTCCTGCACTCCTGCTGCTTCCAAAAGTGAGAAACATAACCCTTCTTTGGTCACAAAATGGTTTTAATTCCCAAGGAGAATGAAATTAATTAAGGAGAATTCCTTAAAAGTTTGGCTGTCCTGCCTCCAATGAGGAAAAAAGAGCTCTTTTTAACCTACTTCCCTAATGTGCTTAGGGAAATTCAGGAGAGAAAAAGAGCTAAATGTTTGTGCAAATTGCTTTAAAGAAAACTGGTTAAAACAGCTTGGACTAGCTTAGCCCAACTGCAAGTGAAAGCTCAGCCAGGCCCTGAGCTCTGCATTACACAGACTGTTCTTGGGTACCAGCAGGGATATGGTGCTCAAGTTCCATCCCAATGGGAGCAGCACAAGAGTTCTGTACCTGGACAGGACGTGTCTGTGGTACTGACCCTGCCCCTGCACTAGTCCCCCGCCTTTGAGTTATAATTGCATAGACTCGGTGCAAGGGAGACTTGGATGTTTTTAGGGAATTTCTCAATATGGTTTAAAGTTGCAGGATTACCCTGTAGCTTGAGGACTAATGCACTGAGATGGGGTCATTAGTGCCAATACTGTCGGTCTGAGATTGATTTTCCATTCAGCTGCCAAAAGAGAGCAAGGGGGATGGAGGGTGCGCAAAGACTAAAAGTTGAACTCTATTTCCCTCAGAAATATCTCAGGAAATTACATTTTCCCCAGGGCTGAGCCATTTTGCTTGTAGTATTAGTAAATGGATTATTTTGTAATTAATTGATGAACAGAGTACAGCTGTAGCCAACACCAGTTATTTGTGTTGTGTTCCGAGTGCACCTCAGGTTTTAACCTGGATTTTACTGAGGCTGTGTGAGCACTCGCACTCAGGGCAGGTCTGCCCTTTGCAAACAGAGCAGGAGAACGGATATTCCCTGGGAGAAGACTTGGCTGTTACAATTTGTTTCCATCTCGGTATTGGCAGCAGTGAGCAGGAAGGCACTGAGAGTCAGCCAGGTTGAGGGGTTCAAGCTAGTCTGTCTCCTCTGTGTTTTGGGGCACACTGCGTGGGCTACAGCTTTCCCATAGTTATCCTGTGGGGATAACACAGGCAAACTGCCTTGCAGGCTGCTGACAGCAATTAAATATATTCGTATCTCACTTTGGGAGAACATGACGAGCATAAACAGGGACTAAGATAGTTTAGTGTTGGTTGGAATGAAGTTTAACTCTTGCATCTCTATACTTGGGTGATTGGGACATTGCTGGGGTGTCTCTGCCAGCCCCTGGCTGTGCTGCTGGAGTGAGCATTGTGAGCCAGGACTGTGAGCACCAGAGCCTCTGCTGGGGCAGGTCTGCCTGGGAGAACTCAGCCCTGCTCAGAGCGTGTGACTCCCTGCACACAGTAAGATCTGTGCCATGCCCATGGGCAGCACAGAGCTGTAGCTTCCCTCTCGTAACCCCTCGTGCCAGAGGCAGCTGGACCTGGCTGGGCACGGCAAGGGCCCAGCGCTGGGATGGAGCCGCAGGACGCGGTGCCCGGTGCTGTGGCATCGCGTGTTCCCCAGACACAGCCCAGCGCCTTGGCTCCTTCCCCTGCCATGTGACCCCGCCTGCCAGATGTGGCCCCTTGTGCTTGTCCCAGCGTAACCTCTCCTTTGGCAGAGATGATGTGTCTCTTCATGTGGATTTCTGGAGACAGAACCTTAAATGTTCTTACTCTAATCTCGGTAGTATTTTTATGCTGATTTTGAATGGATCTGTCACACAAGACAGTGGAAACTGAAGCCCTGAATCCTTCAAGCCCTTTCTTGAAGCTCTTTGGTGTTTTGCATGAACAGCAAAATACAGCCACTTGTTTTTAACCCTGATGCATCCTTTGTGGCAAAATAATGTCATTAAATGTCTGTGGAACAAAGCAGCTGCTCTTGGGACAGGGATCAGTGAGGTGTGCAGGTGTGAGGCACTGCATGGTTTGGTATAGCCAGAGCAGGACACAGCCCACATTAAGTGGGGAAAAAGGGTCATAGTTGGTGTTGTGGCTTTGGGGCTCAGCCTGGTGACCTGCAGCACACAGCTTTGTGCTCAGTCCAGTGACCTGCAGCACGCAGCTTTGTGCTCAGCCTGGTTACCTGCAGCACATGTCCCACTGGCTCTGGGTGGACATAAGTTGCCACTTCCTCTGGTGCTGAAGCAAGGTTTGGTGGCTGTACCCTCTCACACACCAAACCCAGGATGAAAGGCTGGTCTAATAGTCAAGGCCCTGGACTGCAGTTGAGGTTTGGGTGTGGTTTCTGTCTGTGCTGCTGGGCTCTGTCACAGTGTCTGGACCTACGTGCTGGTGTCAAGATCAAACCTGTGGGCAGAGCGTGTCTTGGCTGCTGCTGGGGCCGTGCACCTGTGTTTTCTCTCTGTAGCCAGGGTGTGTTGGGTCTGGATCTGGCCTTGACAGAAAGTTAAAAAGTGGCCAGGAGACATACCTGGGAGCTCTTTTAGATTTGCTGTTCTAGACATAGCTGGGAAGAAACCGGGCTAGTAATTTTTTTTCTGTCTAGTCTGCAAATGAGGATAATAATTCCTTTTCCTCACCTTTCGTCTGTTTAGATGAAACCTCTGGAGGGTGGGGCCTGACTTCAGAGACTGGCCCGATGGGACAGTGACTTCAGCTGGGATTCCTAGGGGCCTGATAATAAGGGAAAACTTTATTATTGTCGAGGGAAAACCCATTAGCGATTGGGACATGCCAGCACTGGTTTTGGAAAGGTCAAGAGGTCTTTTCTATGCAAATGCTTTGATAGGTCCCAGAATGAATTTGGTGTGGTATAGCTAAAACACACCTAAAAATATGTCACCCAGCAGCATCCAAAACAAGCTGAGCAAAGAGGCGTTCACTGGCTTTTAGTTTTTAGCCCTAATTTATGAGCAAGGAAATGGAGCAGGGGAGGAAGAGGCAGCACTGGAGCCTTCGGACCCTGCTCAGTTGAGGCATGGCAAAAAATCTCAAACAGTTGAGTTGTTCTTCTCATTTGTCAGAAATAAACCCCCCAATGTAACAAATATGTCTCTCCCTAAGCTTATTTCTAATGTAATATTAATCTGTGCTCTCATGTGTGTGTTTGGGCAGGATTTAGAGCATTACATCAGTTTGCTGTGCTGCTGCTTCGCTCCAACACGCAGCTTTGCCATAGGGGGCTGGGGAGGGAGAGGAGTGCAAGGAAAGGACTTGGAAGGGGGGAAGGGATGCACAGCAAGCAAATAGCCACTCTCCTTTAGGAGGAAAAAAAGTGCCTCAACCAGTATTTCTAAAACTGGAATTGCAGCCAATCGAGGAAGGTATCGTGGAGTCAGAGCTGTGCTCTTAGATCCCATTTCAGATTTTGGACCATTTTGCTTTCCACTGACCCTTGTTGCCATTCCTTGCTGAGTAAAGTCACATTTGGGTTTGTGAGCTCCTCAGGGACCTAACCTGTCATTTCTCCGTGTCTGCAAACTGCTGTGAATGTTGATGGCCTGTTAAAAGTAAAAAGGATGTGGGAAAGCTCAGGAAGGCAACCAGGAGGATTGTAGGTCTGGGCTGTGGCAGAACTCCCTGGGTGCACCCTCCCAGCTTCCTCGGTGTGAACACACATGTGTGCCTGTGCCACGCATGGCTAATGGCCTGGTTAACCTGGGAGCCATTCCCAAGGCAGCACATGACACTGACCTGCGGAGCAGAGCATGGAAATAGGCTTTTCCTTTTAATTGGTGGCTTCTCTGCGATCTTCATCTTCCTACTGCAAACTCCATCTGCATATTGCAGTTCCTCCGGTCCTGTAGGAAGAGTTCTCCTTCTCTCTCCTCTCGGAGCTGGCCAGAGCAGTTTGGCGGATGAGCTGCGGGAGGACTTGGAAATGATGGGACTGGCTTTGCTGAGCCCCGGGCGGGAGGAATGTAGGGAGCCGCGTCCAGATCCGCGATAGCGGCGCGAGGAGCCGATGAGTGAGTTCGGTGCTGCAGCGGGGAGGGGAGGGAAGGCTTGTTTGGAACGGGGAGCTGCCCGAGCGAGGCTGAAGGAGCTCCGCGCTGCCCTGCTATCATCAAGTGCCTGTGTGAGGGAGGGAGGGCACGAGCCCGGGTCCTGGGAGAGTGGGGCTGGCCGGGAGCAGGGGGGAAGCAGGTCGGGTGAAGTGCCAGTGCCTGCTGCTGCCTTTGGCTGGGCGTTGGAAGGAGCCATTTCTCATAACGTTTAGCTACCTGATTTTATCAGTGGGGTTGGTTCATTTCTGTGCCCTGCTCCTGGGCTTGCCTGGCTCCCCCCCATTCCTCTCTCCTTCCTAACTCTCATTCCCTCTCCATCCTTAATCTTCCCACCCCTTCCTCTCATCTGAGCCTGACCCTTCTCTCTTCTTGCCCCTCCTTCCCAGCCGATCCCTCCCCCTGCTCTGGATCCGCTGGCTGTGGGATTTTTTTCCCGTGCTCACTGGCAGATGTGACAGCTTTGGGAACTGTATCATCCAGGAACAGCTATATCTGGAGTTGAAAAACCTAACGTGGTTTCCCAGGCAGCAGGAATGGATCGCTGAGAGAATTTCAATCTCCGACTGCTTTTGTCTTGTGGTAGTGACTTTTATTATTTATGTTTGTGACATTTCTTACAGTACAGTTGTCAGCACTGAATGAAAGACTAAAGTCTAGTAGATTATTATAAAATCAGTGTCACAGTATTTGTGTTGTTATATTAAAGGGATGCTGTCTACATTTAAATACAGGTTTGGCTTGATTTACAAAATTTTATATGCATAAAATGTTCTTATGAATTTCTTACTGACTGAGAAAAGGCCTGTTTTTATGTGTTTTATTTAAACGTTCTTTAGCTGGGTATTGGAAATAAAAATAAATAGCTCTTGCATGAAAACCACAAAGTGAAAGGAGGCTGGTTAAATACAGAGCTCCTCAATGAAATGCAAAACCTACCCAGATTATTACAATCCATATTTCAAATAACTATTTTTAGTGTATGGATTTCGTTTGCTCTTAATGCAGTTTACCTTTAAACCACCTGTCTGATCTCTTTCTAATCAGATGTAAAGCAAATGCCACTGGGTGCCCAGGGGTGTGTTGTGTGTGGAGCGGATTACATTGTGTTGTTTTTGAGCTGTCTATTATAAGCCAATAAGGCACTTGCAGGCCATGTCAGCCAGTCCCCTAAAACCAACCAGGAACTCTGGAGCTGCTCCTTGCAGCGTCTCAGGGGGCTTTGGGCTCTGGCAGGGCAGGGCAGGGGCTCAGCGACAGCTATGGGGATTTATGGCAGTGTACAAATGCAGTGTTTGTGCCTATGCAAGCTGAGATGCTGACAGAGCCACTGTTCTGGTTGGGGCCAAAAAAGGCTTTAAAAATTTGCATTTTGAAGCAGTTCAGCCTGAATCACTCTCCTTGTGGGGAAATGCCTGACATGTTCAGAAAACCATTGATGCTACAAGTGCTAATGGTTGTGGCATTTGGAACACCCCATTTTACAAGACTCTTTGCCACCTGAAGCAGTTAAAGAGCAAACTTGGAAGAGACTGTGCTATGCCCTGGGTATCTTTTCATTATGAAGCTGTGAGAGAAGGAGCAGGAGAAGGAAAAAGGCTGGTTGAAATAGTAATATCTCTGTGTCTGGAAATACCCCTGAGCTGATGGATCAAGGAGCAGTCATGACTGATATGTATTATGGATTCAGAACCGAACCACTTGCTGTAATACTACAGAGATACTCCCTGCTCTCCTTGGAGGCTGGGAAGCTCCTTAGCAGCTCCAGCTGTTGGTTTGAGCAGTACTAACACCATGAGCATCTTTCCTTTCCGTTATTGACTGCACTTTTCTTTTCCTTAAAGAATTGCCCTCTGACCTTAGTCTTGATTCTTAGTTAATAAGTAGCACCAAAGGGGCCTGAGAGATGAATCACTGTTTGAGGAGCTGCAATCCAGCCCTGGAGCACAGACACCCTTCCCATTAGCTCTCCACTGAGATGGATTTGTGTTTTCATTGGAGCTTGTTCTAAGCAAAGATTATTCTGGCTGTGAAACCTCTTCCAAGCAGAACAGTTGCTTCCAGCCTCTCTTGTGGTTTTTTTTAGTTTGCTAACCTTTTGTGTTCTTTTTCAACTGTGAGGTATCTTTGGTGGGCTCCTGGCTGCAGTGTTGCAGTGGCCAGTGTCAATGTGAGGGGTGGGTTTCACCAGGGATGGATGGCATGATCGGGGTGTTAGATGGAGTAAAGGTCCTTCTGTGCCACACAAATACTTCCCACCCCTGTGGCTGCAGGATCGTGGTGACCAAACTGGGAACCAGTGTAGATTGGATTTCAGGACCTCTGTCTAGCACCAGGAATCAGTCATTGTTCAGCTAATGGCTGCCCTTTGCTCCCTAAACAAGTTTAGAGTGGGACAACCTGGAAAATATTTGCCCTAGATTTCCCTGTGATGTGCTGATTTTGGAGATGGGTGTCCTCTAGAAGTGTATTCTTGTCTCCACTACAGAAGGTTATCTCTCTGTGGTCTGTGTCTCTGACCCTTGCAAATATTTGTTCAGCACAAATAGTTGGAGGCCGAGGTCCTGTACAGGGGAAGAGTGACCTGCTACAAAGTCGAAGTGGCAAAAATGCTCTGCCTGATGTCAAGGAAGAGGAGCCATTCACTGCTGTAAGCAGTGTTAGTGAGAGGCAAATGCCAACAGTCAAGTTGTCAGTGGAAAGAGAAGAGGGTATAAACGATTTCATTTTTTTACTGGTGGATTTTAATTGCTTTAATAAACCTGTGGAGCTTTTTCCCAAATCAGTCAGTGGAATCATGGAACATTTCAGAGGAGAAGGGACCTCAGGAGAGGCTGTGTCCATCCCTTGCAGTCTTCCACCTTTCCTACCTTGTGCACACAGAGCTCTGGTTCTTCCTTTTCCTTAATTTCTTCCCAATTTCAGAGGTCTGATCTCTTAGCTTTCTATTTATCTAACTATCTTTTTTTGGCTATAAAATCTAGATTCAGATTTTGAAAGTCTCCTGTGTTTGGGAATATTTCAGTGTTAGCTGCTTCTGGCTTGTTGCATTTACACTGGCTGTTCACACAAGCTGTCTCTCTCAGCCCTCAAGGGAAGGAGTCTTAGTTTTTAATTTTAGCTTCTTCAGCTACCTGCTGACAGAGTTTGATTTCCACCTCCCACCTTCTCTCTCCCTCACGGGCCCTCTAAGCAAGAAAAACTGAGATCCGAAGTTGGTGTTGGGCAGATCTTCTTTTGGCAACAGCTCTGTTGTCTTTAAATTGGAACCAAGTGGATATTAATTACTTGCAGTAACCAGTGAGAAGACCACCTGAGCCCTGTTCATAACCACCTTTCATTTCAGGCTTGTAGTGGCATCAACACTCTCACTGGCTGGACTCCAGAGCCATTTAACCTAGGTAGGAGCCTGTAAGATATAAATACACATCTCTGACATATTTTTGAATGCTTATATCAGGTAATGTGAATTTGTAGAAATAAAGGAAGTCAGTAGAAATCCCACCTCAGCCATGGACCTGCCAGGTGGTCTTGAGCAAGCCTCTGCTTCCTCCTGTGATGATCAGTGCTCGTTAAAGTGCTTTTCCCCAGAGAATGCCCTTGGTGCAGTGCAATGAGCTGCTAGAACTGACCGGTGGTTGCACGGGCTGGGCGCTGCGGGCGCAGACACGCACTGACGGCGTCGCCTTCCCCCTGCAGGCGTCATGTTCCGCAAGAAGAAGAAGAAACGCCCGGAGATCTCGGCTCCGCAGAACTTTGAGCACCGTGTCCACACCTCGTTTGACCCAAAGGAGGGCAAATTTGTGGGCCTGCCCCCTCAATGGCAGAACATTCTGGACACACTGAGGCGCCCCAAGCCAGTGGTAGATCCTTCGAGGATCACGAGGATGCAGCTCCAGCCCATGAAGGTAAGAGAGGGAGGCGGCTCTTCGCTGTTGCAGTGTTTCCATTGCCCCAGAAGTGGGGCTAAGGGTGGAGGGGAGAGCAGGGGCTGGGCTTTGATAGTACCTTCATGAGCAATAGGGACAGCAGTGTCCTGAACTGCAGGAGTGCCACTGTTGGAGTAACCAGCTGCCTGTCACTGTGGACACAGGGACACGGGAAAGCTCTCGTGGAGCTGACAGGACCTGGGATGTGTTCAGCTGCTGTACAGGGAAGGGAGGAGGAGAACTCGGGGACAGACCTGTTTTAGCAGGTTTGTCATTCTCATGGGTGAGCAAATTGGGCTGGTAATGAAGTTGCCAGGGAAGCCTGAGTGGGAAAGAGTGGGGTAGCACTGGCTTGCTGTTCATGGACAAGTGAGGACAGCAAGGACTAAAGGAGGGTTTGGGCTAAAAGGGTTTCCAAACCAGCATTTTGATGGAAAGTAGAACATATTAAACAGGAGCACGTCCTTAGAGCAAGTCCTTCAGTAAGGAGAAACAGGTGATTCTTGTGGATGGGTGGGTTCAGTTGGCTGCTGGAATTGGCTTTGGAGACTGTGTAAGTGAGAGCAGGGACCTGCTGTGGGAAAAGGAAATGAAAGATAGTGACAGAATCATTGTGTTTAAAGTCTCGGGAGCTTGTGGGAAGTTTTTGTTCTCTGTTAAAAAAAAAAAAAATGCTCCATGGACCTAAAAGCTGAAAGGTGAGTTGTCAAATAGAGATGTTACTACTTGGGTTTTAGGAGGGATATAAAAAAGAGTTGGCCATCTGATGAATATATTTAGCTTTTTGTGTGTAGGTGTTAAAAACATGGGGACTAAATGGGACTATATTTGGTATAATGTAAGTTTTATACATAATCAGACCTGCAGTTGAAATGGCACATCATATTGGAGCAGAATGCTGATTTGTAAAGGAAAGACTTGCTCAGGAAGAACAGGTGAAAGAAAAAGGCAGGAGGTATTGCCTGGTGTACTGAATGTGCTTTGAGGTTCAAAATATAGTAGGAGATAGGAGCACAGTCCAGAGCAAAGATGAAATGTGTAATAAGAGACCAACTTGGTTGGATCAGGAGCTCTTTAATGAGCTTAAACTGCAGGAGGATTGCTCAGAAGGGTGGAAACTAGGTCAAGTTATAAAGGGCAAAGAGAAAAGAAATTTATGTAGGAACAAAACTGGAAGGCCAAGGCACAAAAAGAGATGTTATTCTCAAAGAACATAAAGGGCACTAAGGAGACATCATAAGTGCACTGAGGAGAAGGAGGATGAAGGAAAGAATTTGCTCACTGCTGATCTTGGAAGAAAGTTAATAACAGATGACACCGGGAATTCTTAAGTGTTTAATGATTTTTCTGCAGCCTTTATTAAGTGTGTTCAGAGGGCTGACACAATTAGCACGAGCATGAAGGGATGGGAATGCAAGCTGGAATAAGAAAAGAACATGAACAGAAATGAGACTTGGTTAAGAAGCTGCATATTTTCAAGTCAGCTGGGCCTAGTGAGATTCAAGGAATTGCAGATCAGTCAGAATAATTTCTATTCCCAGAAAGAGGGTGGAACAAATAAGCAAGTAATCTATTTGCAGCCACTTCCAAGGAGATAGCAGGGTAATAGCTGGCAGCCAGTGTGGATTTATCAAGAACAAATCATGTCAAGCAACCCAATTTCCATCAATCCCAGGGTGTGGGGCCGTGGGTCTGGGGGAAACGACAGCACTCTCCTGTAGCTTGACTCGAGTGAGGCTCCTGACACTGCACCAACAGCATTTCCAGAGCAAACTGAGCCATTTAGGCAAAGGCTACTCCAAAAATAGTGTGAGGCATCACTGTCAAAACAGGAATGTGCATGAAGAGATTTCCGGGAGTTTGCCCTGAGCCTAATGCTGGTTGGTACTTTCATGTGTGACTTATTAAAGCTGAGCATGGCAAAAGCTGAAAGGAGGTGCAAAGCCTTTAGAGAACAAGGACAGAATACCCAACAGGCTTTAAGAACTAGAGGAGAATCTTAAACTAACACTGTTTTTTTCCCAGTAAGTCCAAGTGCAAATACTCTCTGAGACTGCATCACATAGTTGAGTATTTTGGGTAAACTCCATTTGAATTAATTCCTGTTCAATTATACCAATCAATAAGATTTTTTTTTTTAAGTGCTAATTGGCCAAGCCCTTATACTTAGTCCTGGATTCAGCTGTCAGAGTTGTTCCTTTTTTGTGTGTAGCTTATAAAAAGGGGCTTTTCTTGTTAAAAATAATTTCTCAATTCTGCTCAGTAAGGCATGATCTGTGTAAGAGCACTCCAGATAGATTTGGCTCAAATGTGGATGGTTCTTCATTAATCTGATGCAGTCTTTATACACAGCAGCAAAGCAAGGCTAAGTCCCATCTTCCCTGTCCACTGGGGTAGGACTGTCTTAATGGGAGTGACCTGAGTCTAACTTTAGGGAGTTTCTAAGTAGAAGGTGTGCACTAGAGTGGATTTTCCAGAGAGGCCACAGCATGTTCTTGGAGACTTCTTATTTTGAGAACACACGAGTCTCTCTGGAATGACTTTTGTCCGTTTTGGTCTAACAAGTCCGTGTCCCCAGCACGTTGTTCCGTGGCTGCGGCTGGGCCATGGAGGAATGTGTGTGTGGTGAGGGAGTAGAGTGAAGACCAGAATTTCCAGCTGCAGCTGGTGTGTGTGCCATGGAATGAGTGGGGTTGTCCTTCCCTCACCTTGTTTGACAGAAATGTTGTGTTGTGCCTTTCATTCTCAGACGCTGAGCAAACCAGGTGCTCGTTGGAGCGCGGTGGTGGCGTTCTGCTGAAATTACTGGAGCTGCTGTGTTGCACCAGCTAAATATTAGGCTTGGTGTAATTAATACAGCATGTTTAGTAGATCCCTGGAGCTCAGTTAGCAAACAGGAGATTGCTGTCACTCCAGGGAAGGACTTTCCTTCAGGCAGAGATTCATGAAAGTGTAGGAGTGATCCTATGCTGCGAATTTCTGTGGAGAAATGGAACCTTTTGGTTCCCAGCACTAAAAAAGCTTCTGTAAGCTTTTCAGTTCCAGAAAAAACAAGGTAGAGCACTACATAATATATTGACAGCTTCGAGTGTCCTACTTGTCCGGAGCTGGTGCCTGTTTGGATGGAAGCCTTGTTCTGCAGCCGGTGCTTACACGGCAGTTGTGAGCTGTGGTGACCCTGTGTGCGGGGTTTAATTAGAGTGGCTTGGCAGAGCAGAGGGGGATGCAGAGCTGGAACAGCGTGCTCTGCACTGCTCAGGATGCAGATGCATTAGCAGAAATTGGGGAGAAGCAGACTGGGGGAGGCTGATTCCAACACTGGGAGTGCTTCAGGGGAGAGATGAACCTTGTGTTGGAACAGTGAGATGGGTTCTGCAGATGGAGCTTGCAGCATGCTGCAACTTCTTCTGAGAACCAATATTTCAGGAGCTTGTTGAGCCGTTAGTGATGTAGTGTCACACAGTTTCAGCACAAGAGAGCCAGGAGAGTTGAAATATTCCAGGTTGGCTCTAATATTGCCTTTTAGAGCCTGAGCACAGCAGCAGAATTGACTGTTGTGGCTGACAGCACTTCTGCTCCGACAGCAGAGTGTGACCCAAAGATTCCTTTTTTCCCCCCCTCGGTAAAGGACAATGAGAAATAGGGGAACAGAATTTTTCCTGCCTAAGTTCCTTGAGTATTCTTTGGCTATATAAACAAAATCTAACTTTTGGCAAGATAAACTGAGCCTGAATTGTTACAACTGTGACTTTTTTACTCGTTTCCCACCTTCCCCATGTTTCCCAGACCGTGGTACGGGGCAGCACTGTGGAAGTGGAAGGCTACATCTCGGGGCTGCTCAACGACATCCAGAAGCTCTCTGCCATCAGCTCGAACACCCTGAGGGGCAGGAGCCCCACCAGCAGGAGGAGAGCCCAGTCCCTGGGGCTCCTGGGGGATGAGAGACCCCCGGACATGTATCTCCAGAGCCCTGAAGCAGACTGGGCAGACAAGTATGGGAACTACCTCAGCTGCAATGGTGGCTCCAAGGTGGCCCGGAGGCAGACCATGTGGCCGGACTACAAAGCCCGGCTGGAAGGCCAGTCCCATCCCAACGGGATGGTGACAAAAGCGCAGTCCCTGGGCCCGGCGGAGTTCCAGGATGCCGAGGGCAGCTGCCTCCAGCGCACCCCTGCGCTGCAGCACGTGCCGGCTGTGCCGGGCGACAGCGACACCGGGCCGAGGAGCCCGGAGGAGGGCTGGCCCCAGCGAGCAGCCAGCTCCAGGCCCTCGGGGGAGGGCAGCCCCAGCTCCAAATCCCGGGAGAACAGCCTCAAGAGGAGGCTGTTGCGCAGCGTGTTCCCCTCATCCAACGCCTCAAACAAGCCGGGCTCTTCCCTGCAGATCAAGGTAAGAGCTATTCCCTAGTTGTGAGTGGGTGCAGTGTTGACTTTACAGTTCCAGAGGTTATGTACACAGCTGAACCAATTTAATTGCAAACATCATGCAGCCATCTGTTATTGTTATGATTAATGTTGGAATCCAAATGGTCCTGGGCTGGGGAAGTGTGTGGTCCGTTGGTGCTTCACAGGCTGCACTGTGAGGCACAGCTCAGGGCGGCAGCCAGATCTCTGGGAGAAGGGTTGGTTGGCAGAGCTGTACTTGCAGGAGCGTGGGCTGGCAAGGATGAGGGGACTTACTCACTTGTGCCCTTCTGTGAGGTAAAGGCATAACTGCAGTGCCATTCCACTGGCATCAGGGAGCCTTTGCCATTTGGGAAATGGCTGTGGCTTCCATTAGCAATGTGTTCTTCTGCCTGTGCAAACCAGAACTGCCTCAGAGAGTGGGCTGAGTGTAGCTGTATCTGTCAGGGTTTGCACTGGTACCCACGGTGCTGTCACACAGGAAATGCTGGCTGCTGGAAAGGGTGGGACAACTCATGGCTACAGCTCCCCCAGGAAAGCTGTCCTGAATGGATGACTCACTTTGTGTTGAGCTGGGAGAAGATCTCTGGTTCCTGTACTGGGTAGGAAATGCAGCCACTGCTGCTCTTCCTTCCCAGGCTGACCCAGCACCCATCAACTTCCCATGGCTTGTCTGCTGCCTTCAAAGTCTGCACTGGGCTGGGGCTGAGCCAGGCTGATTTGCAGCAGCTCCAGAGTCCCTGAACTGGGAGGATAATGACAGGAACCACCATCCCAACCAAACTGACTCTTCTGTAGTGTGTTGCAGGGCCAGGGGAAGTCTCCAACCTGCTTCTTGCAGTTTGCATAAGGATCGGGCTCAAGGCTTTGGGCACAGTGGATTTCCTTTCCAAGGCAGTGGGATTCTCAAGGAATGCAGTTCTTGTGTAGCATAAGCTGCACTTATTGCTGTCTCAGTGGCTCTGGGCTCATCTACACTGGCTGGAGTACCTAGAACTGGCCACTTGTGTCTTCCCTAGCCAGAGTGTCTTTGCCATCCTCAGCAGGAGCAGAGGTTCCCAGCTAAATGGATGTGCTTGGGTGCATTTGAGCTCCAGGTATTTGTCAGAAGAGAGGAGCAGGGAAGACCTTGGGGCTATAGTCCATCTCCCTGCTCCAGGGAGGGATCTGTGCCATAGCTGGGAGTTGTTTATCTGATGTGTTCTTAGCAGCCTGCGGGGTGACAATGTGAGTCTCCCTCTCAGGTGGAGGTGTTGATGTGTGAGAAATGTGTAACTGCAGGTGAAAGGGACAGGGATACAACTGAACCATGGAATCCCAGAATGGTTTGTGTTGAAGGGACCTTAAAGTTCATCTTGTTCCACCCCCTGCCACGGGCAGGGACACCTTCCACTAGACCAGGTTGCTCCAAGCCCTGTCCAACCTGGCCTTGGACACGTCCAGGGATGGGACAGAGCATCCACCACTTTCCTAGGAGGTGGGTGCCATAACAGGCACATGGGAAGGTTGAGTGAACCTTCCTTTAAACCCGATATGGGGGACAGGAGTGGGAGAACCAGTGACACCTCACAACGTCCCAGGACTGAGAATGTGTCCACTGGGCTGTCAGCTGTGGGAGCAGGAGATAACACACTTGTGTGAGCCTGCACATGTGCTGTGTGCCCCTCCTGCACGCTCGGGGTTAGAGAGAACCTTTTTGGATTCTCTCTCCTGAGACAAAACAAGATTTGAGAAATAAATGCTGTGTTGCTGTGAGCATGTCAGCACAGGAGTGCAGAGGTGGGGCTGGCACTCGGGGAGGAAGGAGCTCCTGACATCCACCTGTGTTTGTGCTGTGCCTGATGCCACTAACCGGTGTTTTCCAGGGCCTGTGTGTGTGTGAAAATGAGCCCCATGTGTTTGTGAGGCTTATGCAGATCCTGCTGTTGACAAAAATCCTTGATTAAAACCCAAAGTGCATGGAATTAAATCCTATACAATTATTTCCTGTCTGAGATGGGAAAAGGAGTCCTCTTCTAAAAAAGTCTCTGTTGGCAGTTTTTGGTTCCCATTCTCATATTATTAACTTTATTAATAATCTCTCTGAATTGTGAGAGAGAAAATGCTTTTTGCTTTGAAGTAATTTTGCCCTATAACACAAATGATTGCCTTGCTCATTCTGAAGCAGCTCCACTATTATTTTGAATGTGTTTGTATACATATATTATGTATATTTTACATATACACATGTAAGTATATAATGTATTTTATACCCCACCTGCTAGATGTCGCATTTTAATTAATCAACATTTCCAGGATGAGTATGAGCATGACAAGGTTTATCCTTCTTGGGAGACCCATGTGTAGTGGTCGCATGGGAATGTGTATCCCAAAGCCATGTTCCCATGGGCTGTGATCTCACTACACTGAACAGGGGTGGGCCTGTGTGGCACTGGAGTGGGATGTCTCCAAAAACCTCCAAATTCACGATCGGTCACTTTGGAGCTGCCAAGGTGGCAGGTGGCTCTGTGTAGCTGGAGTCTCAGGCTGGCTGCCTCCAGCTGGCCTGGATCCCAGTGCTTTTCCCAAAGCAGAGGGCTAGTTCTGTGCCTGATCGACAGGAATGCTCTGCAGGTACCAGTGGAAAGTGCAGAGAGAGTTTTCAATAGGCAGAGTGTAATTACCCCAAGGGAATTAGGCCAAGACATCAAAGTGATTTACAGCCTTGGCATGAATCCTCTTTCCTTTTATACAGAGGAAGATCAGAGGCACAGAGGGATAAAGGATTTTCAAATTCTCTGCAGCACAGGTTGCCCCTGAGTTTTGGTGGCGAGGTTGGAATGCTTTTTAGCAGCTGGGTTTTTTCTGTGGGTTTTGGGTCTTGGTGGGTTTTTTAAAGCATGTGCTTTAAAAGGTTCCCTTTAAACTGCTTCAGTTTGGAGGTCCCTAAAGTGTAGCACCCATTCCCTAAGGGATTCCTGAAGATCTGCATCCAAGCAGATCTTCATCCAAGCATGTGTTGGGCAGACCTGGAGCTCTTGACTCCAGTCAGCTCCAGGTTGTGCTAGGGCAGAGTGGAATGACACAAAACTGATTCCTGACCTTTCTGCTTGTTAACCCAACCATCCCTTTTTGGTTTTCCCCCTTTCCCCTTTGTTCCTCTGGCAGCCTAACACTTTCTTCAGGCCCCAGCAGTGGGGCTCCCCGCGCAGCCCTGCAGCCAAAGCCCAGTCTCTCCCGCCAGATCCGCCTGCCTCCGATTTCCCCAGGGGGGTCTCGGAAGCCGGGACCCCCCAGAAGTCCCCGCCAGCGGAGAAGGCGGTGGCAGTGCCCCTGAGCCGGCCCTCACCAGCCGGGTCCCCCCGCAGCCGGCACACCCAGACCAGCTCCAGCAACCTCCACCTGCCCCCGGACTCCGCTGGGAAGGGGCAGCCGGCAGGCGAGGACCCCGTGGTGGTGACCCATGAGCAGTTCAAAGCTGCCCTCAGGATGGTCGTGGACCAGGGGGATCCACGGGCGATGCTGGAGAACTACGTCAAGATCGGGGAGGGCTCCACGGGCATCGTGTGCATCGCGCGGGAGAAGCATTCGGGGCGCCAGGTGGCCGTGAAAATGATGGACCTGAGGAAGCAGCAGCGCCGGGAGCTCCTCTTCAATGAGGTGAGGGAGAACAGCTGGGGGAACAGCCAGCATGGCAAATAGGGGGGAGCAGGACCGTCTTCCTTTGAGTAGGATTATGCTTGTACCAAGGATTACTGCTGGGGGATGGGGGCTCTGCGCTGGACGCGTAGGGCTGCGAGTCCTGCTTGGCTGGGGAGGGTTGGGTGCTGTGAGTGGTTTTGTGGTGGTCACTTGCTCCCTGTGGATTTCCAGGTGGTGATAATGAGGGACTATCAGCACGTCAATGTCGTGGAGATGTACAAGAGCTACCTCGTGGGAGAGGAGCTCTGGGTGCTGATGGAGTTCCTGCAGGGGGGAGCCCTCACAGACATTGTGTCTCAAATCAGGTACGAAGCAAAATCAAAAACATCAACACCTAAGAGCAAGAGCAGAGTGGGGATTTCTGGGAAGAGTAGTTTCTCTCAGAGACCTTGTGTTTGTTGTGCCCTGAAACTGCTGCACTTTGTAACTGTTATCCATTTGAATTATGTGATAATACTTCTGATATAGAAGGAACCTCCTTCACAGGACTGATCCCTTTAGGTACCCACTGTTCATCTCCTTGATGACCTTCCCTGAAAAACACTGCACTCATAAAAAACCACTGTTTACTATATTTGTTGAATCCTGGCCAGAAAGTTCATTGAATAAGTATTAAAGAGCATGCAGAAATAGTTTTCAGTGGTGCAACCTTAGCCACAAATTCAACCTCACTAACTCCTCTGGAAAAGTGCAACAGAGCCTTGAGATTTGGACTCCTTCCCAAATTTCATTGCCTAAAGATAGCAGCTACCGGACACTCTCCTAAATTTGTTTCCTTATCCACACCACTTGATATTCATTAATGCCCCAAGCATTTCTGTAGGGCAGAGAAGTTGTTCTAAGATGGCCCCTGGGGTCCACCCATGGCCTGGAGCACCCTCCTCCTGCTTCCCAGCAGTCCTGCGAGGCTGGAAGCTGGTGCAGGGAATACCAACGGAAAGACTGACCAGGAAAGTCTGTAGGATGAGCTTTTCTTTTTTGAAGATTCAGAATCTTAGCTGGTTATAATTAGGCAGTATTGCTAACACCAATTGTATTTGGTTTTTTAAAAATCACAGTATATCCTTGGTTCACTCATGTGCTCAGACTAGATCCTGTGGTGGATTTAAGGCATATATCTTGCTCTGTTGGATTCTGTGTTTTGGAAGCACATCTGTGATGTGTTTGAGAGGTATGAAAAGCCACATTGTCCTCTGTAGCCTCCACCTGGAAGGAGTGTCCTGGAGACACTTAGCTGGGCTGGTCCTCCAGCACCGAGTTACACATGTCAGGGTCTGAGAATCAACACTTAGTCCTGAGGAGTTACAGCATTGCAGAGCCTGTGAAACTCCTGTAGCTCTTAGATGGCATTGGGATTACAGATAAAAATTGCTGAAGAGGTTTATGAAGGGCCTGTGTGTTTATATCCACCAGTCAGTCTGAATTCCATTGTGGGACCTCAGCCTAGATTGGTTTTATGAAGCTTCCTTTGAACCTGTTAATGAAGGCTTGTTTTTTCACATGGTGGAAAGAGGATCTGTTCTAACCATAACATTTATCAGAAGTCAGCCTGTAGCAGTTTTTCCCAGGGAGGAAAATACCCTCATTCCAGTCACTAAACATTTACTGAGGGGGATAAGTGATTTGCATCTCCAGGAGTGAGGTAATTCTCCAGTAATGTGTTTTACACTATGCAGACACTTGCCTGAAACCAAATTTGATCCATGACAGGCTGAAAGTGCACCTCTTGTTATCTAAACCTAAAAGGTGAGGTTCTTGGTGCTCATATTCCATGTGCTAACAGAGAGTGGTGGAAATCAGGAGGGTCTTCTCTGCTTGTAACCTGTGCTACCTCTAATCAGGTGTGAGTGGTGTACCCAAGGTGTGTGCAGGAAAACCTAAAGGATCCCTGTATTTGCTATCAGAGAATGTGTTTAGATGTTTTCTGGATAAGGTTGCACAATAACCCTTGTGAACAATGGCTTTACCATATTTGCTTTAAAAAGAGCTGTCTCACCAGTTACTGCAGCACCTTGGCATCGAGCAGCACTGCTGCCTGTCAGAACTGCTTGAAACAGCATCTTGCAGAATGAACTGAGATATGGGATTTAAAATACAAGTTCTCTGTATTAAACCTACGAAAACTTTAAGTTGCCAACCATCAAGTCAAAGCTGTTTTCCACAGTAGCAGACAGAAGAGTGGTGAAGGTGAGATAGTAAAGGCCATAGGGAACCCAAATACCTGTGACTTAACTTGAGAATTGCACCGTGCCCTTGTGGCCGAGCCCTGTCCCTGCCCAGCTGAGCTCCCCTGTCCCTGATTGCAGGCTGAACGAGGAGCAGATTGCCACGGTGTGTGAGTCGGTGCTGCAGGCTCTGTCCTACCTCCATGCCCAGGGGGTCATTCACCGGGACATCAAGAGTGACTCCATCCTTCTCACACTGGATGGCAGGGTATGTGTCCTCAGACAGACTGTTTCCTGTCTTCTGCTGCTGCAGCCTTCCTCTCTTGCTTCCTTTCTGTTCCCAATCCCTTGTTTGCAGCTCATCCTCTTACTCCCTTTGATGTCTGTGGTGTTTCCCTCTGTGTTGTCTAAGGTTGATTTTTAAGGTTGGTTGCTTTTCTCTTTGTACAGGTCAAACTCTCAGATTTTGGCTTCTGTGCTCAGATCAGTAAAGATGTACCCAAGAGAAAGTCCCTGGTGGGTACTCCCTACTGGATGGCTCCAGAAGTCATTGCCAGGATACCATACACCACAGAGGTAAGGGACACCTCCCTAATATCAGGAGAGGGAGCAAATAATATTCTCAAGTGTCACAGGAAAATAACTATTGCCTTTTCAAGGAAGAGCCTCTAGACTCTATTTAAAACAAAGCCAAGTGTGGCTACAGATTTGATTGTGATGATGGCAATATTTTCAAAGTCAGTAGAAAAATAGATTGTTCTGCTTCCAGGAAAGAGGCATAAACTTATTCTATTCTTACACCTGAAGCTTGGCCTAGATTTATACCAGCTGTGGACAGATGGGAGCAAGGAGCAGCCTGTGACACGATAGAGATCAGTAAATGGATGCCAGAAAGGGAAGGGAGGAGATGTGAGCTCCGAGGGGCTCACCTCGGGGGAGGCAGGGATGGGAGCTCTGGAATTTCGGGCAGGTGGCAGCAGACTAATGAGTTTTGTTTACCAAGGAACCAGGTGTAGCACAGGCAGTTACTTGCAGACCTTTACATGTTGCAACACCACTGATGCTCAGTCCTGGGTGCAAAACTGACTTTGTTAAACTGCTGTAAGGAGCCCAAGAGCATCAAGGGGTCAGTGTTTGACTCGATACCATTTGTCATGGGTGGAAGTGTTGCAGCCTTGGTGAAAGCAACACAGCAAGGACCTGCTGCTCTGAACTGTGTGTGTTGATGTGCCATTGGCTCCCATAGGTGGATATCTGGTCCCTGGGGATCATGGTGATAGAGATGGTGGATGGAGAACCCCCCTACTTTAGTGATTCTCCAGTCCAGGCAATGAAGAGACTCCGAGACAGTCCTCCTCCCAAACTGAAGAACTTCCACAGGGTGAGAATGCTGGCAAACCCTTGTACACCTGATGGTTATCACAGGGGAACATCCCTATCAGCTGTTCCCGGAACAGCTGGCTGTGGAAATGGTCTTGCTAGGACATTCCTTGGGAAGTGCTTTGGCCCCGGGGCCTCGGTGGCTGCTGCTGACAGCTGGTGGCTGTGTGGGGAATAGCGCTGACAGTGTAAGGGCACCTGGGCATAAATGGAGAGTGCAAATCAGAGCTGCCTTGGCTGGACCCAGCAGTTCCCAGCTTGCTGATGTCGATAGAGTAGGGAAGGAAACAGGAGGATCCTTGGGAGTTTCCACCTTTGCAGTCTTCAGGACTGCAAAGACTGTGTTATTGTCAGAGCAGGAGAACTCAGGACACACAGGAGCTCGTGGAGACACTGCAGCTGCTTTGAAGATGAACTTGGCTTCATGGTTTTTTAGGAAAAAGTAGCAGTGGCATAAGAAACAGTGATAACCTTTCAGTCCCCACTTGGAGCAATCCTTTCATTCCAGGCTGAGCCTGTGAGATCAAACAGCTTCTGCAGCATCCTGAGCTACCGGGTCTTTGCAGTTAATCAGAGGATCTGCAGCTGCTAAAACTGAATTATTTAACAGAGTAGACTGCTGAACTAACATCAACAGCTGCTCTCTCCTCTTTGCCTTTGCAACACTAATTAAAATGTAATGGTCACGTTCTGGACCCGGTGCTCGCCCTCCTTGGGCAGTGTAAAGCCAGCCTGGTCTGGGTCACACCTTACTTGGTGACATGGCCCTGCTGTCTGGCTGTCACAGCCAGAGCTGATCATAGTCTTACTCTGCTCCGGTTATCCCAGGAAGCAGACTGGCTTCCAGCAGATCTCTGGGTCACAGGCCAGGGGCCGTCCTGCCCTGTGTCCTGGGGGAACTCAGCCCTCCATCCTGGTGCCAGTCCCTGACTTCCTGTGGTCAGTGACTGAAGTACTGGTGCACCAGGTTCAAGGGGTGTCACTGGGACAGTCCCTGCTGCTTTGCTAAGGCATGGGCAGACTCCCTGCCAGGGACACAGGGATACAGGCTGGATCCCAGCACTCGTCCTCAGCTGGGCAGTGCCTTCTACCTCCAGCCATCCCAGCAAAGTCATCCAAAGGGCTCCTGAAATAAACAGTAGCTCAGTGTGAACAGGATTTCACGTTCTACTTCTGAGTGAGCCAGAGCTTGGAAAATGCCCCCAACCTAAATTAGATGTCATTAACAGCATTTAAATAAATAAATATAAGCCAAGTTCATTTTTTTATTCCGTTTTAACGAAGCAGAGGATTAAACCAGCAGAGATGTACAGGGCCTGGAAGTGGTGCTTGAGGCTGGCTACTCCAGGTTTTTACAGCTCTTCCAAAGGACAAACCTGGGAGGTCATTCAGCTTTTGGTACCTGTTCTGCAGCTTTTTCACCTTCTTGCACCAGCAGCATGAGGGTTCCAGGCTCTCAAAACCAATTTGGGAATCTTATTGAACTACTTTTTCCACAATCTGTGACCAGTAAAAGAATGAATTGAGGCACCCTTCCCACCCAAGGGATGTGCTCAGGTAGCAGGAATCTTGCTGAATTTTTGAGCTGAACTGCAGAAAATAATGAAATGGGAAACAGGAGTGATCTGGATGGAAGGACACTCCAGGCAGGCTTGTCTTGATTGGCTGTGGCCCATTGGAAAGAAAACAACCTGTGTAAGTGTTGTGCCTACCAGTGACAGAAGGTTATGTCCCTAACATGAAAAGTGTGAGCTCCATGTCACATTGCTGGGAAAACAGGGATACAGAGGGGGGAAGGTGCAGGATCCCTTTAACCAAGCCCACCTGGGCAGCCTGGTGTTGCATGAGCTGTGCCTGGTCGCTTTGCAGGTTTGACTTGGTTGCTTTTTCACAGACCTCCCCAGTTCTGAGAGACTTCTTGGAAAGGATGTTGACACGGGATCCGTTGGAAAGAGCAACAGCACAAGAACTTCTGGATCATCCCTTTTTGCTCCAGACAGGACTTCCAGAGTGTTTGGTGCCCCTTATCCAACAATACAGGAAGCGCACCTCCACCTGCTGACTCTGCCTGAGGGAAAATTGTGGGGAAAAAGGAATGTTTATAACAAAAAGAAATCTAAAAAATGAAGAGCCCAGGTGGTTTCATCCTGTGAATGGTGCTTGGAACTTGTCAGCGATTGTTTTAGAGGATGAGTGTGAATCCTGTCCGTGCATTTGCAGCCTTCTGGGGCTTCTCCTTTGCTGAAGACAATCAATACAGACTAGATCCAGGTGAGACCAAGGATAAAGCGGGTATTCCATGCCTTGGGAATCACTGCTGCCGGAGGATGGCGTTTGAAGCGGAGTCTGAAGTTGTGTATCTGAATGTCTGTGAGTTTCTGCACACCTTGGCTGCTGACCACTGAACTGGAATGATGTTTCCCGGTTAGAAATGTGATCTTTGCTTCCTTCATTCTACACTGGAGTCCTGTGCTGACTCATTTTGGGGCACAGACCCCTTTAAACTGTCAAACAATGCACAAAGACTTGAATTTTTTTCCTCTGAGACTTTTTCACAGACGATTTTAATTTCCTTGGGTTAAATGTGGACCTGGAAACCTGCCCACACTTGGCTCGGGAGTGATGTGATATGTATATATTTGTTTCTAAGTGGCTCTCTTGCATCAACAGGCTTCTCTTTTGCTGCGGAATGTGTATGGTTTAGTGGTCAATCTTGAATCCATTTCATGATTTTAAACTTCTGGAAACCCTTGAACAAAGGCCTCCAAGTGGACTCTGTGAAGACCAGGTGCTCCCACCACCAGGTCCTTGTGGTTGACAATTCACCACGTAAGACCTCTGGTGCTGGCTGGGGTGTGAGCAGCCTGCTCCTGGGGCTGCTTTCCAGGCGCCTTTCTTTCCCTGCCCCTTCTCCCAGGAGAGGCTGAGAAATGCTGCCCTGAGGCAGTTGTTGGGTAGCATTTTGGGGATGCTGTAGGAGACAGAATGGAACAGTTTGAGCTGTGCTGCTCATCCCAGGATTGATCTCTGTGTTCGTGGGAGGTGATTGTCCAACCTCCATCTCCCTGCGGCTGCTGCAGGATGTGGGGAGACACCTCTGCTGTCTGGCTGTTGGTCTGCCCTTCCCCACCAGCCCTTGGCATCTGAAAGGTTTCTGGTTGTCTAAACAGCTCTTTGAGTTCTTTTAACATAGTTTTAGGTATTTTGTGTGCTACACTCTCTGGTCAGTGAGATCCTCAAGGTAATTGGACTCTAGGTCAGGATTAACATTGTACAGTGACGGTGTGTGTTGTTGTGAGGTCTCAAGAATATACTCTTACATGTGGAACTGGGATTTTGTTTTGAAACTCCACATGCAAATGTACTGGAATTTAAGTTATTCTCGGGACAGTCCTTCTGTGCCAGAAACTAACCTCAGAATTGCATTTTCTTCAGAAGATGTTCATAATCTCTGTCCTCTGCTGTTTGCTCCAGTTACAGATCCTGCTTCAAAATTGAAGCCACAGTTGATTACTTGAAGTAATTTGGGAGGGAATTGATCTGCACTGATGCCATCACAGGGTGGGCGCCCAGTCTGTGGAGTGTGTAGGTTGGCTCTGTATCTGTGGGGAGGGAACACCTGTGGAGGGTGGCTCACCCCCTTGTCTCAGACACCTGCTGAAGGATGAAATCACTCTCTCCCTCGCCTGTGGCAGGTAGAGGGGTCACAGGGGGTTTGCCTAGACTGGATGTCTAAGTTTGGGGCTGATGGAGTTGATTGAAATTAATTCATTTAGCTCCTCTTTAGCTGCACTGGAAAATTTTTGACTTAAAATGTTTATGTATTTCAGATATATTACTTTTTTTTTATGCAAAAGAGCAGGGCTTGGAAAAGATTTATAATTTGAAACAAACACTCCTGCTGGTCTGTAGTTGTGAATCCTTTGCACTTGTGTTTTAAATTAAAGTAGATCTTGATTTATTCATAAGGCTGTTGCGGTGCTGAGATGCTTCACAATGTGTCTGTAGTCCAGAGCTGGGAGTGTGAACCTTAGAGTCTGGTCTTACTTCCCTGTTCTGTGGCTACGTGGCTTTTAAAGCAAGAGGAGAGTGGGGCAGGAGCCTGGATCCTGAAACAAGCCTTTCTTGGAGACAGGTATGACAGGTTTAACATTCAACACCGTTTTTATACTGCAGCCTAAGTCTGACTAAACACAGTGAGGGAAGGCCCTGGAAAAATTGCATTCAAGTATCTTATAAAATTTTAAACCCTCATTACCATATTTGAGGGATGCAGAAAGCAATTCCTGCTACTTGTGTTTCTCTCTTTACAGTTCGTGCACGGCACATCACCAGTTAACTGCTCCATTACTTAGATGAGTGTGGAATCAAACGTAAATCCTAAGATAAACTTAGATTAGTTGAAAGATTGAAGCTCCATCTCCAGGGCCGACAGCTCCTTCCCCAGGAACCAGGCAGGAGCATGAGGATCCAGAGCAGGTTTGGAATTTGCATTGCAGTAGTATTCAGGTCAGGATTTCTCGTGTGCTAAGTGAGATCTGAGTATACAACAACGTGTGGCCTCTTCTCTGACGAGCCCAGAGCCTACTCAGTGGGTAATTATGCTTGGAGATGTTGTTTTCTCTGAGTATCTTTCCTCTTCTACAAGGTTACACTTGTGTCTCGGGGTTTGCTGTTGTTTTGTGTCATGTTTCCCCTGAATCCTCTCCTTTTATTTTCCCTCTTGTCAGCTTTGCTCATGTTGAGCCTTTTCCATGCTGCCACAGTCCTGGCAATCAGCTTCCAGGAGGCCTTTGAAGATGGTGGGTGGGATTTATAGGAACAATTTGCTGAATCAAACGGGTGCTCTGGGAGTGCTGTCAGGTCCCAGTTGCACTGGTTTATGTATAACGGTGCCTGTCCCCCTCAGACAGGCCTCTGCTGTCAGATGCAGCAGCTTATTATCCTGGGACAAATCTTTCTCTGGAGGCCCCTCTCTTTTAACCTGTGGTTACAGATGGACCCTGGGTCAAATGAGGCTCCCAAATTTAAGATTGAGTCTGGTGAGAACCCCATCCTTGCCCCTGCAGCCTGCAGAAAGCTTTTGGCTGTGCCTTGGGTCCTGGGGATAAAATAGGCATAACAGCAAGTAATAATCTTGAACATGTGGGTTATGTGTGGGGCAGGAAGAGTGTCTCTAAAATACAAGAGCTACTGTGCCGTAATTCCTTGCGTAAGTGCAATGGGCATATCAGAACTGTCTCCGTTCTGGAGGCAAAAGATAATTTGGATCCTGCATGTACAGCATCTCCTGTTGGTATCGCTTGGAGTCCTCCTCTGCTTAGGAATCCCCATTACCTAATTTTTTACTATTATAGTACAAAGGTTGGACTAATATAAATATTTTGGGCCAGAGAATTTAGTGGTAGAGAACAAGACCTAGAATGTGGCACTTCAAAGGTGAAAACGTGGAGAGAAGGTAAGATTGTGCCTAAATGTTCTGCTCTGTGTCAGACCAGTCTTAGTTACCACTGAATCTGGGTTCTGTAACAGCCTCAACAGTGACCTGTCTGACCCAACCACCACATCACTCAGTGCTCAGCAGGTAAGCAAAACCACAGGCAGGGCTGCATGTGAAGGAATCCTCAAGGATGTCTGAATTCCATGGGATGAAGCAGTGCTGGAAGATGAGGTGTCCGCTCCCCTCTGCAGCCCGTGAGTGACCAAACCAGGGTGTGAGTGAGTTGTGCTGCTGGGGGGGTGCTCAGGGTTCCTGGTGTGCTCAGAAACCTCTGCAGTAACATTTGGTTTGGTGCCTTTATTTAACTGAGTCCGTTTCCCATCTGCCCCCACTTTGGGCAGACAGGGACGTGTCTGAGGTGTCCTGAGAAGGGCAGAGCGCTGGGTCCCGCCGGCTCTGTCGCTCTCAGAGCGCTCCTGGGGGACATGTTGGCACAAGGCAGGAATTAGAGGTGTCCAGGCTGGAAAGTGAAGAAGTTGTGAATTGTGGCAGGCTGGAGGGAAGGAGGCCATAGCTGAGTGCTGTATCCCAGCTTGTGCTGGTGCTGCTGGTGGGAGCAGCCTGTGATGGGAGATGGAACCCGCCCGACCTGGCTGGGAGCGTTTGTCCTGAGAGTGTGTTCTGCCCTGTCCCTGCCACTGTCCCTGCGCAACGTGTTCCCCTTTAGGTTGTGGGGTCAGGGGAGGGGAAAACTCCCGTGAGGACAGGCCCTGCTGTGCCCTGGGTTTCTGTGTGTGTCTCTGACTTGGGTTTCTTCTGTTGGGTTCATTTACCGAGAGGGTTTGAAGGGAAAAAGCAACCCTTGGAGCCTTGGCAGTGTGTGCATGTGGAGAGAGGGACACACTGTGCCCACTTTTTGGTCTGATCTGGGTGTCTGGGTTCCCTCCAGGGAGAGAAGGGATGAATTTTCCTTGAAAATAACCCTTAAAAGGCTTCTCTGGAGGGGTTTGGCATAAGCAGGGGTAGGAAGCAGTGCCCATGCCCCAGTGCTCCAGGTGGAACTGCCCGTGCTGCACCCGGGTTAAGGTAAGAGCTTGGTGGGATGTTGGGATCTGCTCTGGGAGGGCCTCAAACACCACAGGGACACACCTGGACAGACACAGTCAAGGAGATGGACACACAGAGACAGACAAGCAACAGACACGCAGGGACACAGACACACGGACAGACACAAGTGGATAGACAGAGGGCACACACACAGACCTGCAGGTACACTGAGACACAGGGACACAGACATGGACACACACAAGGACACAGAGACACGGACACAGGGGGACAGTGTCACACAGACACACGGGACAGACTGGGATGGACACAGGGACACAGACACACGGACATAGAGGGTAAGGGACATGGACAGACCCTGGGACAGACACCTAGACAGATACACAGAGAGGGACACAAACAGAGAGATAGAGACGCGCAGGATATACACACGGACAGACCCACAGACAGGACAGAGACATGAACACACTGACAGACACACAGACACACACACACGGACAGACCCACACTGACTGACTCACAGATACAGGATAGAGAATGAACACACAGACAGATGCACACAGACACACATGGACACACACTGAGAGACACACAGACAGACACATGGACACGCACACGGACAGGCACACTGACACACAGACAGACATGGGCACATAGACACAGACCACTGAAGACATTCGGACACACACTGACGGGCACATGGACACACGCTGACAGACACACGGACAGACACACGGACGCTGACAGACACACGGACAGACACACGGACGCTGACAGACACACGGACAGACACACGGACGCCCACTGACGGACACACGGACGCCCACGGATGGACACATGGACACACGCTGACAGACACACGGACAGACACACGGACGCCCACTGATGGACACACGGACGCCCACTGATGGACACACGGACGCCCACTGACGGAC